GTACTTTTGTAGTTTTTCTGCCAACTCTACAATAAGGCACAGAACAGTGCTTTTTTTTCAACTCAGTCGTGTAAACACAAGCATAAATACAGCTTATGTACATTCAGCCAAACAAAACCTCAGAAAGTACACAAGCTCCCTGAAAGCTTGATTTCACTGAAGGTTTATTGAGGCCTTTAAAACTGCGACTGTACACGGCCAATGGTGGCATGCAGCCATGTAAATGATGCCATGGTGATGGCGGCCACCAAAAATTGATAGAAATGGCTAAACTGGTCTCTGCTCGGCAGCGAAGGTCAGCTAAGCGTGCTAACATGACTAATAACCAATACAAGCTAACAGTAACCAAATAGAATTATCAATTTCTATGCTAATTTTATCTACTATGTCTCATTTCTTGTAAAACAAACCAGCCATTCTGAGAGCGCTATGCTGAATATTGTTAAGGAATGGTCAAAACTGATCTTTGATTAGCAGCAAAAAGCATTATCAAGTACGCTAATTGGTGACAACTAGATGTCATTTCTTGTAAAACTGTCTATTTATCCTGATTAGTGCTGTATTTAACATTATGAGAGAAATGGCAAAACCAGGCTTAAATCAGCAGCAAAAGTCAGCTGTCGCTACTCTGTTCGCTAAGCTTCCAGTGGAGGAGTCGCCCATGAGATGAATCCGTTATATATAATTAGGCCAAATTAGAACTCCACACACTGAAGAACTAAAGACAAGAGCAACCACAGCCAGCAGCAACACAATTCAGCAGCAATTAGGTTTCGTTTGCTTGATTCGCTCCACTCATAACGTGAATAATTAATCAAAGGGGTGGAGGTTCTAAGGATTTCACATGGAACGGATTTGTTTTTTCAGTCAGAAAGCTTGTGGGTGGGTCGTGGTTATTCCATTAAAGCTTAAGGAATCTTGACTAACATGAATGGTCTCTTATTCACTCATGCCATGAATAAGATGACCAGTTTGACCCATTTTATCTCTGTATTCTCTCTCTCTCTCTCGCCCTCAGGGTACACATTGCAGCTCCTGTGCTGTGTGTGTAAGTGAATGTGTGTTGGTGAAAATAGGGAGCACATGCTCCAGGCACATGCTGTGTTTGTCAGAATTGAGTTAGTGTCCCTTAAAGCATGACACAAGCTTCTGGGTGGGGCATCTGGCCCAACACTGAAGCCACTCTTCAAGACACGCTCAGACATAGCAGTGCAAACTGTGAAATCTAAGGAATCAGCTGCTCTTTTGCACATAAAGGACCATTTCCTTCGAATCTGTGTACCGTGTCTGTATGGTGCTGTCGCTTTCAGCAAACGGTCATTGCAGCGTTTCCTTGCAGTTATGAAAGAACTGAAAAACAGTTGACTTGAAGCTCAGGAGGCAGTGGCTCAGTTCCATGATTAAAAGTGTGAAATGCATGGCCCAGAGACAAGGCCCAGAGACAGTGCTAGAGTGAGGATAACATCCACCAGCTAGACAGCTACATTACAGCTAAAAACATTTTTGAATGTTAAACTCATGATTGAGTCCTTGCATTGAACAGGCTGGTGTTAGTTGCTTTTAGAACTGATAGAATACCACAGTGGTTATAACGTTCTCTTTGCTTTTTCATGTTACCACATTACTGAAGCTTGTTTTCATTGCCATAGTCAAGCACTACTGCCTGCTAGCTAGGTAGCCTGTAGGAGCTAAAGTTTTCATCATGAGAAAGTGCGGCAAGCTAATTCTGTTGTTTACATGTTGCCATTGGGCAAAGCATCTTTCTCTGCCTTTTTGCATGGTCACTGGTGGCATGGTCAATGTAAACATTGCAATGGTGATAACGTCTGCCAAAAAATGGTGTAATCCAAGGCTTTGTTAGATGTGAATGCACGAAAACAGTGTTTTTGCCCACAACATCTGTACATTTTGTAATTTTTTAAATGGGCATTTTTGGCTGCGATCACCAAGGATAACATTTAGATGGCTGCATGCCACCTTTGGCCACACAAGTTCACAATTTTACAAAATACTGTCAAAGGTTTGAATACTGCCAGTCAAATGACATGTTTTGTTGATTTTCTGAGTGAAATTAAGTGAACACATCCTCTACAGAGAGCAAACTTATATATGGCTTTTTTTTGCAATTTTTACTGCACAGTGTCTGTTGATTTGCTGAGTTTATCATAATGGAAATGAATAAAACTTAAAATATTGGATGTGCTGTAACTTGCACAGGATAAATTTTATGTTTTTATTTTTTCCCCAATATGTTAAATTCAGCAAATGAACAGTAATTGTGCATTAAAATAAGTGTGTTCTCTGTAGAGGATGTGTTCACTTAATTTCACTCAGAAAATCAACAAAAGGCATCATTTGATTGGCAGAGGCTTTTGCATATTTTCACTTAGAAAAACATCAAAAGGTCATTTGACCAGCGGCACACAAACATTTGTATATGTGAAGTTTTACTCAGTGGACAAAAAAAAGCAATTCTTATTTCTTTCACTTTCAGTTTTCTGGTATCTCTGCATGGTCAGCCAGAGATCTGTTTTAAAAAATAATAAATGAAAAAAGAAGTCCAGCTTAATTTTCAAGCAGCTTTGGGAAAAACTCATGGAAGGGCTTTGCATAAACATTTCCTGATAGATTTTAGCAACTGCTCATTGGCTTCTATTATATGTGAGTCTTGAGTAAACGTGAAAGTACAGAGAAGCATGTCAGAGTTATTCTCCATGGTAACTGACCATCCAATAAACATGGCAGCTAGAAATTTGGTTGAACAGTGCTGGAGTATTTCATTAAATACTGTGAAAGGAGTCTGCTCTCTTGGTTTGTGGGTAAGTGTGTTGCATTCTGTCTCAGTGTCCATGAAACGGCTATGTTTAGACTGTTTAGACTCTGGCTGGGACACAGGGCTCATTCTAAGAGGCAAATGGTATCCAATTCAATTCAATTGGACAGGATTACATCAGTGTTTCCTGAACTGTCATTGTCTCAGTGCTGTCAGATTCCTTTAAGTGTTTACAGTAGATAGTAAGTAGCTGTTTCCATAGAATATACAGTGTTCATTTCAGTGTCTCTTTCATGCTGTCTACTTGAAGCTGTTTAGAAAAGGCTACAAACTAATTTCACTTCAGTATGTATTTGTTTATTTGGCTGTGTGGGGCTTGAAACACCTTTCCATCGGCTTCTGTAATAGGTCTGTTTTGTTAAATATGTTTAAAGGATCTTTACCTCTTTAGAGCTTTATGAAGTATGTAAGCGTTGTTCAGTTAAAAAAAGATACTTCATTCACCCGTTCATTTTTGTGATGTCACAAAAAACAATGCGTTGAAACACATTCGTCTATTCAGCCTACAGCATTTTTGCTCCACCCATTCACATTGAAGCTATAGAGAGTGTTTCATCCTGGATTCCTTTTGAGTGACATACAATACAGGGTAGCCAACCAGAACAGAGGTCATTTACATATATGGGTCATTACTGATTTGGTTCTAAAGCCATTTTGGTCTTTTAACTGACTTGGACTTAAAACTAAAATCATTTTGCTTTGAGTAACTCTGTACCTCAGTTATGTTTACTTTATTAAAATGAATGACTGAGCATTTCTTTTTGTCGCTAGCAAAACAATCTTTACCGAAACAATCAAAAAAATTGGTGAAGTTTCGGTAGTGTAAAGATTGCTGCCAGTACATGACTAGCAAACACTGCTTTTAACAGTTCTACACACATACAATCATAATATTTTTATTAGAGCACAAAAAGTTTAATTAACATATTATTATATTAAAATATGTGTTTCGGTTGTGATAATTTTTAATGTTACGCACTGATTTTCAGACGCTGGGACACATTTACTTCAAAACAATAGGATCTAACTGCTCACCATGTGGCCATGAGGGACAGGAATACTCTCAAATGCAGGGGTGTGGCTAAAATAAGGCTTCACCTATGCACTAAAACTTTTTTTTTTTAAGTTTTTTTATTTAATCTTTTAAAAACACATAAAAAAGGCAAAAAATGTAAGTATTGTTTTCACAATTTAGGGCTTAGAGTTTGGGACAGCCCCCTCCCAATAGAAAGTACTTTATAGATGAAGCTTTTGTATATATTTAACTTATTACTATCTTAATTAATGCCTTGCATTTAAATAGACATAATTGTTGTAAATATTTAAGGTCTGTGTATTTAATTCTTTTTTTTTCTTTTTTTTAACTGTGGGCCTACGGTTTGAACTGTTTGAGTAGAATGGTCCATATCAGTCTTAAAGGCAGTAACAAACACTGTTTAATTCAAAGGGATAAAGAGTGTTTGAAAATGGTCATGTAAACGTGAATTACGACTGTTTGTGGTACATGTAACCATGCAGTTTTTGTAAGTGGGAAAGAAATAAAATAGGAGTAGGCTGCTTTTAGTTAATGATGTGATGCATCAGTCACTGATGTAATTAACATTGGTAGATCCTTTATGGACACTATATGAAGTACTCAAAAGACGTGACAGGTTCTTGGGGAATTCTTAAAGGTTTACTGAGCAGAAGATGCTGAATCACGGGGCGTTACTCTCTGGACAGTAAAATAAATAAATAAAACGACTGTGCTGTGTGCTCTGAGATTTAATCTAGCCGTTGTGTCCAGAGCGAGACAGGAGAGTGAAGCACTGTGTGAATTATTGAGGGAGACCGCCTCAGAGATTAGCAGTATTTTGACAGTTTGACATTTCTAGTCAATTTTCCCTGCCCTTCGTTTTGTTTCTTTTAGCTCCGTCAGTTCCCCAGAAGCCTGCTATTGCTGAGATCTAGAAATGTTTCTAGGAATACTTCTCCTCATAATGCTAGCATTGCTAATGGTGATTCAAAAGCAGCTGGGGAAAATTCCACAAATGAGTTTGTGCTAACTCATCTCGCTGGCTTTCGTTCATTATTAACCGTGGCAGCGTTGTTCTGAGTGAGTGTTTTAGATCTTGGCCTCTAACACTCACTCATTCTCTTCTTTTTTTTCCCCCTCCCTTCCTTCCAGTATCCAGAGGGCAGCTATAGCCATATTGGAGAACTACTACAGAGATTTCCCTGTACACAACCCAGCACTACTTACAGCCTCCAAGTCTCGCGCAGCCAAACACCTGGCTGGACTCAAGGTCTACAACGTAGATGGTGAGTGAACAACCCCTCTTATGTTTAGGTAGAGACTCCTTATTAAGATAACCTACATGTTCTTAAAGTAATAGTTTGGCAACAAATTTATGCAAGTTACATATAAAGTGTACACAGCTTTGCCCTGAACTCCAGATGTAGTTTGTCAGCCAAGGCTGAAGTTTGCTTCTTTAGTTTTGCTCTGTATATGCAAAGCTAATGGAGAAATAACGCAAGCTTATACCCCAGGGATTAGCATGATGCACGCTACATGCCTTAATTGTACGCTTGTCTCAAACTATGCCAACTTGAGTGATCTTAAATAGATTGTTTATGTGGTTTCTGACCCTCTGTGATGTACTGTGGTCTATAAAAATGGGCAAATGTACAATGCGTAGCTAAAAGCATTAGCAGGCATCTAGAATTTCCTTTATATTTTTGTCAATGAGAAACCACATAAGCAAGTATATTTAAGATTACATAACTCCATGCAGTTTGAGGCAAGTGTATCGTGATTTAGACATGCAATGTGTATAGTGTTTATTGGTGGTGTCTTCCATTACTGGTTAATATGGCTGCAACTATCGAATATTTTCATTTTCAAATATTCAATCAAATATTATTTTAAATATTCAAGAATCCTGTAAGAATTAGAAAACCTAAAGATATGTGTTTCACTTAAATGATTGAATAAAAAAAAAAATCCTGATTGTTAGTATCACAACAAAACAAATGTTGTCTCGATAAAACAATGTTTATGTTGAGAACATGATATAAATAATTCAAGATCTCCAGAAAACAGCTTACGTTTTTGCCGTCACGTGATTTCGAGAAAATAAATAAGAATAGCTCTTTATCATGGGGAAAAAACAACAAACAAAAGCTGCTCAAAAACCGCTTTATAACTGAGTACATGCTAAACTCAACTGTCAAACTCAGCCCACTATCCAGCAAAAAGAAAGGCGGCGCACAGCAGGCTAGCTAGCAGTCCACAGCAGGAAAAGCACTTGGACTGAACCATTCAACTAAAACAGACATTGGGCCTCATTCACAAGCTGTGCTTAAGGCGAAATGTATTTTTAAGTCCCACCTATGCAGTTTTCACAAAGATCCTGACATTCATCAGTGTTGTCTTATTTGGGATTTGTTCTTAGGTAAGAACAGAGTCTACACACACTCAAGAATGCAAAGATGCGAACAGGTCTTTGGTTTAAGAACACGTCCTGAATCTGACATAGACTTTTTCTTAGGATCTTTCTCAAGAACAGATTTAGGAAAAAAACTTAGGAAGAAACTGGTGAATGAGGCCCATTATCACCTCAAATGAGAGCTTTAATAGTACAGACAGTTAGCATCGACAGTCTTACCTCTGATTACTGCTGAGATATCACTACTGTCGTGACTTCGGCCATAAAGAGCCAATTGACTGACTTGAAAAAAAGCTAAGCTTAAGTCACTGTTTTTACCTGACATGCAGGCAGATTACCTTGCTCTGTTTAGATGCGCTGCTAATGCACTGTACTGGTGACTAACTAGCATTTAGCTTCATAGACAAAACTTTGTGTTCTGTCGGACTGATGAATCGATGCACTGAAGTGCACATGCTTTCATAAACACGGGTGAATTAATCAGTTTATCAAATTTGTTTGAATATTTATTGCAGCCCTACTTGGTTAGCCTTGTTAGCAAAATTAGCTTCATAGCTCCAGTACAAAACTAAAGAAGCAAACCTCAGACACCCAACATGTTTTGGCTGATATACTTTATTTGAAGTAACCACTAAAAATACCTTTTTGCCCTTTTAACCTTTTACCAAACTGTTCCTTTAAAATGATCAACCTTATGCTAGAACATGCCCTTTCACATTACACTAATCTCATTAGTTTTACTAAAATGTTAATAACAGAAGTGTCTGGCCTCACTCCTGGAGATCTTCCCTTGTTTCCAACCCCAAACTAACACATCATCCAGCTTATCAGGAGGGTCTCAGGATTAGGGCCTGGCATGTTTGTTTTAGGATTTGCACTGAATCTCCTGAAACAAAGATCTCTAGGGGCAAAGCTGGACATCCCTCGTTTACAGTATATCATTGCATGTTGTTTCCAGTACAGTTTGATTGTTCAGATTTGCCATTGTACCTTTTCTTGTTTGTTGTGTCCCTGCTTCTGAAAGACGTCTTTAAAGCTAAGCTGAAAGCTTACCTTTTGGATAGTAAGTGAAATATTAAGCTATGTTGACACATTCCTCACTGTTGAGCACTCTGCTTCTTGTTAAAACAAAGTTGGAAATCAGTAATCATCCTCACACACCTTCCCAGGAATGACACCTCACAGGAATGACACCTCACAGGAATGCACTAGGGCTGGGCGATATAGACAGAAATTCTATTCTGATATATATTTTCTTTCTCACTTGATATTGATGACTTTTGGTATTTATTAGATGCATTTCATAATCCTCAACTTGAATAGTAATTTGAGCTCTAAAGAGCCAAAATGTTTACAAAACCATCTCAAAACATGTCCATAAACATTTGAGCATCATGAGCATCACACAGATAAAAAATATTCAGTCATTTAGCAGATCAGTCAGAGCTCTTTGTAGTAGCAAAATGTTTGTGTAGTTTATTTTTCTATTTTAAAGGTTTTTTTTGCCATTTCGTTCCCTAATTCTTTTCGCCACATCTTTTTTGTTTTTTTTTGCTTTTCATAACTAGAAAAAATGAGTGTGTATTCATTTTAAATATAGAATCTTTTTACTTTAATATTTTTCATGCTAACTCTAAGGAAGTGAACCAGAACAACAAAATGTTACATGGCACAAGGAGGAAAAAAAATCGCAGTGGTTGTCAGTGTATTGTGGTAACTAGATAAAATTGCGAAACAGTAATTAGCATTAAAATGTTTAGTCCAACAACAGTATCCAGATCGTGAAAAGAAACAATTAGTTCAGTTCAAGTTTATTATTTGTTTTAATTATTCCAAAAAGTGTTTGTATGTCCAAAGAAAGAAAACAAGTTTTAGTCATTTTAATTTTTTCAAGTTGGCTTCCAGTATTTGTCATGTTCTTGAGAAAGACCCACCTCTTATTCCAAGACAGTTTCCTCAAAGTCATGACCTTTTTTAACTCTACGTAATTTCAACACTAATAATAGCTCGCTGTCTAACTCTCCTAACTGTCTTGATTTGTTTTGTTGCAAGTGAATGGCTAGACTTCTTCACCCTCTTCGTCTACTGAGTGAAATGCGCTATTGTAAAAGCAGCTGTTGTTCAGAGTTCAGGCCTTTGCTGAGGGTGCTGGGTTAAGGAATATGATGGCATGATCATTACATCGTAAATATGTGAAAAATGTCCGATTTTAGTAACTATCACTATTGTTTTATCGCCCAGACCTACTTCCACCGTAGTTGCTTGATTGCATCTGGTTTTTGTTAACTCAATGGGTCTTTAATAACAGCGGCTTTGCACTTTTATGTGAAGCATGCTCTCCCACTGGCTGAATCTTCCAGAAACATTCCTAATGCACAATTCATACAATCACTGTCCAGAGGCCTGACATCCTCTACCTGTTGCATGAGTCACTTTGAATTGAATCAGTGGAATAGCTCACACAGGAAGAACTCCCTATAAAATTGATAGTGCTGGTTCTAAAATCTGATTGCCTGAGTCACATTCAGAGCTGAAGAATGCTCTAGATATGCACATATGACTGCACACGTTGAATGATCTCCGTGTTAATGTGGCAGTGTATTAAAACCACAGATCTCTGAAGTCATGTCTTCTTTCTTTCGTAGGCATCATGCCCATATTAGAATATAAGAAATATTCTCTATGGGGTCAAAATGAATGGTGTTTTTGAAAATCACTGCTATCTCATCCTGTGGTAAACAAAAACATTCTAATCCTCTGAATTATGAGGTTGTTAAAGATTAGATTCGAAACATGATTATTGCTACATGCCAGCTAGCATGCTAAATTGACATCATAAGATTGGCTTACATTATGAAACTTTCATGCAGCTAGTTGCATGTTGTGAGTTGCATGCAACACAATTTCACAGTTACATAAATGCATATAAAAATCAGTACATATCTTGCAGGCAACTCCACTAGATATGTTCTGTGTATGTTAAGCCTTAACTTAATATTAAAGTATTTGTTATTGCTGCAAGTCATTTGATGTCTTGTTCATCTGGTCCTAGAAGCACTGCAAGTTCATTGAGAGCAGCATCTCAGTCTCCCCTTCTGTAATAATTGTCATCTTTTTGATCTCAAAGAAATAAGTTTGCGTTAAGAGAAGAGAAAATGAACCTAGTTACATAAATCACAATTACAGCAGGCTAACGAATAAACAGTGCAACAGCTGTTAGCGTTAGCTGGCTGTTTGCCATCATGGGTCATGAAACTGACAGAAGGATCTCATTTCAACTGTCCAGTAAACCATCTTCTGTTTTATTTTCTTGTCTATTGATCCAGTGAAATCAGGCGTTTGAGATAGTGATATTTGATATAATCACGTGATGCGTTATTGGTGAATATGAAACTAAATTGCACTTGAGCCGCATAATGTAAAGCAATAGCAGCAGATTTCTAAAACGCTGTTCATTTTTATCACAGAGAAAAACAGATTAATGCTGTACAGTTCTTAATATGGGCATGACGCGTAACTTCAGAGGCCTATTGCGCTATTCATGGAACAATCTTTGTCTATTATGCTGCTTGAAAACCATGAACTACTGTTAAACTACATTGCACAGAGGAAGAACTGTGTATTGCATTTATTATTATTAATAAATTAAAGTATTTGTTGATCATTGGTTTATCTTTTTATTTTTTCATCAGTTTATAAACGCAATAAGCCATTTGAGGCCATGTGTTGACCATGGGTAAGGAGGTTTACTCTGCTTCTTGTGTTATTAGATGCGGCATGGATGATGTCATTAAGGAACTCATGAAAACACTGCACATATGGGTGGGGGTGCAGTAAGGCAATCATACATATGCGCTGAATAATTTAGCATTCAAGAGCTGAGTGGCTTGCCTGAGAAAATGATTTTTCTTTTTTCTGAAGATTTCACGTTGCTCTCATACTGAGTTTAAATGTCTCCCCTGTGGTAGCACATGGGACTAAGCCGAAGGCATGAATTATTCTTCTGTAAGAATGTTTCTATTTAGTATTTCTGGCAGGTTTTACCTTTTTTTTTTTTCCCTTTTTTGCTGATTTGACATTCTGCTCAGTATCTCTCCTATGACCTCATGTGACTCGTCCTCTCTTTCATACTTAAAAAGTACTTTGAATGAGTCCCTCATTCATACTTTCTCAGGCAGTCTTCAACTTGACGTCTATTCAGATGGTTTCCCCTGTTGTTTTTCAGATTTAACAAGTCAGTGGCTCCACGCAGTGCTTTTTTTCTTATAAAATGGCCCTTTGAGGGAAAGTGAGGTAAACTCAATGATTTCTGACGCCTCTGGAACTGAAGTGGAATGCTGAAGAGGGCGGCATATCTGCGGTTTCAAATCCTGGTGCTTTGTAGGCTGGCTGCGGGCGTCCCCAGCCACCTAACGACTTTTGTCTGCTTCTTCTCTTGGACTCTTTCTCTCTCTCTCTCTCTCTCTCTCTCTCTCTCTCTCTCTCTCTCTCTCTCTCTCTCTCTCTCACTGACTGAGCGAGACAGCAGTAGTGTTGGATCAATAGTCTTGCCACTCTGATGCTTTGGCTCCAAAGCCGGCCCAGGGGAAGCAGACATCCACTGCCCGAAGAAGAGTCTCTCTCTCTCTCTCTCTCTCTCTCTCTCGCTCTCGCATTCTCCACTCAGTCAGGCTCGTTATGCTAGCAGCATGTGCAAAGCCAGAAGGATGGGGGTCATTGAATTTCTTCCCGTTTCATTTTGCTTGATTTTTAAACATTTTTTAATGAAATAAATTTACACTGTGCTCTTAAAGGGCCACACTGGCCAAAATGAAAAATGTATTCATTGCTACATCTGCTGTAAACACACTTACTCCCCTCCTACAGTGATGCCATGCAGTATTCTGTAGAGTGATATTTTTCGGACTAGGAAAATATCCCCTCTACAGAGTAAGACTAAGAAACTCCCCTTCTGATGATGCATCTTGAAAACGGGAGGAGCTTTCGGAAAACTACAAGTGCTTTGAGGCGGATACTCGAGGGCAGGCTGTTTGAAATGATTTTTCTTTCTAGCTGGTAGTGAACAGAATATCGCATCTGTATTTATTAGCCTCTACATGACTGGCTATGCTAACAGTCGGAATGTCTTTATCCCCATGGTTGTATGATATTTATGTAATGCATGCTGGGTATTGGAGTGAGAGAACGTTAATGAAGAAAAACAAGAGAACAATGTAAAATAATTCCGCCAATCAGATGAAACCGATGAATACAATGCTGCGCTACAGAATACCGCATATATGACAGATGTGGTACTAATCTCTATTTCAGGCCGGAATGACCCCTTAACCTTATTGTAAGTCAGTATAATGAGAATGTAGGTCATTTTGGCCTTTTCTGTTGATCCATTCGTCATTAAGTGTTCACACAGTGCACAGGGCAGCGGATGTTTTCAAATGGTGTAAAAACGACAAAAAGCCAAAAAAAGGTGTTAGGAGATTTTGGTATGACAGTGACGGCAGTTGCACAAGGCATGAAAGAACCATGATTTCACCTCAGCAACACAGTAGCTGTGTCCCAATTCTAGGGCTGCATCCTTCGAAGCATGCGGTCTACGAAGACGTGTCTTTCGAAGGATGCGTATACCCACGAAGAATGAACTGAAATAAGACAGTGAACTTGGATTTCCTGTTTGCATCACAGCACCGATGTTCCCATGCTGCTCGTATCAAGTTCTTTTGAAGTTCTTTTGTTAGTGCTGGAGGTGCTTCTCTCTGTCCGCCCCTTACTCCCTCAAACAAAACAAAACGTCAGCATAAGTTTTGCTTCAGACCACATTGGCTTTTTTTAACATTCGTATCATTAGCTATCCAACTCAGTATGAACCCACTTACATTTAAAAGTGCACTCCTCAGCTGCCATTCGCTCCTCTGCTGACGTCGCCCTCTTCTCGAATCCTCGCCGAATGAAAACAAGAGACAAGTTTTTTTTTATTTAAAAACTCATTTAAAAACTCATCTTAATTTTTATTTAAAAACTCATGATGAATCAGAAAGAAAAAAAAACTGAAATTTAAGGATAAGATTGGGATAGCCACCTCCCAATAGTACCTTATAAATGATGATTTTGTATATCGCTGTTGTCGGAATAAAATCTCATATCTCCATTTTTGACGTTTTTCTATTTTTGACATAATTTGAAAATGCCTGTTACCCTTTACGTTGTGTGTAAATTTCATGTTGAATGGACTAGAAGAAACAACCCAAAATGACTTGGAGAAATGTCTGGTTCCATTGTCTTACATTAAAAGTCAAGTATGTTTTTCCCTTCCTCTGTGAAGTTATAATTTTGGAGATACAAGTTTTTCTTCCGACAACAGCGATATATTCAGCTTATTATGTTTTTACTGCCCATTCTCTAACACACCTGACCTCAACTCATGAAGAGTTTGGTAAAAAGCTGACGGGTTGAATCAGAACAGGGGGTACGAAAGCGCAGAAAGGCCACTCTATTAATCCTAGTCAGCTATTGCATTCTCTTACGAAACCGAACCCCCTCATGTCTGGAGTCAAGTAATTAAACGAATCCTGGGCCCAGCTCGTCCATCACTTATTCACAATGCCCAGCCCTCTTTTAACATACATTAACATCAGTTTCAGGAAGACACAGACCCTGCTGCATATTAATGGAGCCTTAATCAGCATGCACAAAACAATATCTTTGATGTTGGAGAGGATGTTTATGAAGACGGACACTTGGCACCGCCTCAAGACACTAGGTACCAGGGAGAAATGGAATTTGAATAGCTGAATATTAATGACTCGTCGTGTGGGCGAGGGAAGGAACTTGGGGAAAGTATTTTAGACTTTCAGATTTGCAGGTTGTTTCGTCATGAATGCTTGTATTTAGGGAAGGAGAACGTAGTTCTAGAATGAATTTGCTGGGCTTGTTGGGCCTTTTTTGTTGCTGCTCATTGCCTCCGCTTGTCTGTATAGTGCAACTTCAGCTTATTCACATTCAGGGAAATGCCTGCAACAACACTTGTATGCAGTTAGGGCCTAATGCTCTGAAGTAATCCTGTATCCACTTTCTCTTGATCACTGATCAAACAAAGGCTGAATAGGTCAAATTTGGATGTTGGCCCTCCAGTGTAGCCCACTGAGACCTGTCCCAGATGTTCACGATCGCACTACAGAGGAGAAAGTGCTCTACATCAGCCTGGACCAGTGGTCCGCATGATATTTTTACAGTGGGCACAAGTTCAACCGTACCAGTCTACGAAGGACTTGTTTTTCAGGGGTTCTTTAGTAAAGAAAATGGTTCTGTGAAGAACCATATGTATACCACATCTTGCATGATTAAAGGGTTCTTTGCATCATGAAAGAGTTCTTAAGATTGATGGAGAATGTGCTGTAGATGGTTCTGTATAGAACCTTTTTGAAAAGGGTTCTATATAGCACTAAAAAGGGTTCCACTATTGTACTATATAGAACCACGTTTGCTTTGCAAACAGTAAGACACCATCAGAAAAACAGCAGAAATACATATTTAACCAAAAGCCTTAACAACTAAATATAATACCAAATTTTTCAAACATCCATCTTGTCTTTATTACACCTTCCATTCTTTTCAAGAGACTGACTTTGTTTTTTTAAAGAAATCTGCAGGGATATTTTTACACACCTCCAATGTTCAGTCTTGGGGGTGGCCAATCCATTGTTCTGAGAACAATAGCAGCTTCTTTGTTTTTTTTTGTTGTTGTTGTTTTTTTTCTATTCCCTTTTCTCAGTAACATCTGCTTGACAGCTACACTTCCTTTCAGACTCACAGTGTTGAGTTGTCTTCTCACAGTGGAAGGATGGACAGAAACACCTGTGGATTTTTTCAGATCTGAAATAGGAGTGGAGCTTGATTTTCTCTCTCTCTCTCAAAGGCTTTCATTGTATCTGGCCTAATTGCATGTTAACTTTATATACCACTATTGACTATTGGTTAAGGCTGCTATAACCTACTGACTGTTTAGTTAATGCTAAAGCTTCATTCTCACAGTTCTTAAGAACACCGTACATGAACGGATGTATTAGCTTGTCGTCAATACAGTTTTGCATTTCCATAGCTTTTTATTACATTTATTTTTTATATAAAATATGAACTGAATATTTGTTATTTTTACGATAATCAACATGATGAGCATATGTTGCAGACACCAAAGTGCCCTCATGCACATACTTGTCCTACCATACTATTGTCCTAGGCAGTGGACTTTTGTGGCTAATACTGGTGTTGTCCTGTGTTCAGGTCCTGGAGGCAATAACGCAGGAGCAAGTATTGCCCAGTCACAGTCCCGTGCCATGATCGCTGCTGCCGCCCGTCGACGGGACTCCAGCCACAACGAGCTTTACTACGAGGAGGCAGAGCATGAGAGACGCGTCCGGAAACGCAAAGCCAGGTGAGAGAGCTAGATGCTAGAGGAGGTGGGCAGTAATTAAATGCAGATTCATTTAAATTCAGAGAGCCGGTTATTGGGAAAATAAACCAGCCCTCGGGAATTTACTGAAGGTAAAAGATGGTTTAGAAAGGAATTTCATTAAGGTGGTAGAGCAGTCAGATAAACGCAGACGAATGGATTAAACAGACAATTATCATGGCAGATACCTCACTAATCTCACTAATTAAATGTATAAATAAAAGGTGGTTAAAGGAATGCTGGTAGACTGTGATAGGAGCTTCTAACTTTGTCTAATTCTTTGTCTTTCTAATTAATGCAATAACGGACAGGGGGACCTGATCCTATTCAATAAATAGGGTCTAGACTCTATTTCCTGATCATCTGAGTAAGCAGACTCACAGCAAAAAAAATCAGCCCTCCCTATATGAGTCATTTAAGGGCCACATGTTTCAAAAGTAACCCAGTCATTTCATTGTAATGAATGAAAAAAACCACAAAGCCATGACACGGCAGAATTTGGTGAACATCGTCCTTCACACAAACAGCATGGAACCAAGTCGCTTTCCCCAGATCCATAGCAGTGATGTCCCATATCCAGACAGACATCATGTCTGAGACTTTAAGAGTAAATAATGGTTGTTGTGGGTGCGTCAGGTGATTGCAAGACATTTTAAAGCAACCTTCACATACTGTTACATTACATCCCCATTTATCCATGTAAGCAGATGCTTTTATCTAAAGTAGCTTGCAAATTAGTCAAGTACAATCCAAGCATACAGCTATGAGTATGCACGTGCCCATAATTACCTAAACCTTTGTCATGATTCATGTTGTTTTCATGATATTGTATTATGGAAATAAACAGTATGTGTTTTAGATAATATATGTACATATAAGTAATGTTATTTTTATTGATGGGAATGTGTTTGTGCTTTTACATTTCACATTGAAAAAAAAACTTTCCTGAAGGCTCTTTGTTTGATGACACTTCAGGCAGGCTTCTTTAATTTCTGGAATTTTGTTTTTTTTTTAAACAGTCCTAATGGGTGTGTTTTGGTTTCTGGATATTTTTTTTTCTTTTCGAGCTGTGTGGTAAACCCTCTAGCTGGTGCATAGAGTATGAAAGGATAGCATTGCAGCCTTTACCATGCAATGTAAAGGTGCTCAGAACAATAATACACTAAAACAGCTGCATAAACATCAAATAAAGCATGGCATCACAATATGACAGTGTAATGGAAGCTTATGAAACCAGAGCTGCTCTGCATGTCTAAAAATCTCTGGTGCAGCTTTGATTAAAAATGCAGCAGTGCTGTGTCAAAGTGTCCAAACTAACACCATTGTGTCTGTTAAATATTTTGATATTTTTCATTATTGTAATAAGAGCCAACTTTGACTGAACCTTGACAATACTGTGTTTCCATTTGAGGAATAGTCCAAGACAGATGAGGGCGGTAAGAGAGGAAACTCCAGTGTAAATACAGTATCTACAGGAAGACATGGTGCAAAGTACTGTTCAGCAATATACAATGAGATGGAGAGAATCCCAATAATGTACAAAGCATACAGTAAATACAATTCCTACAGTGAATAAAACAGTGAGAAAGTATGTGTGTCAAATGATTAGATGTTCAGAGACAAGCAGTGTCTTGCAAAGTTTCTTGAAGATTGCAAGATAAATAGAGGTAAATAACTCATTCCAACATCAAGGAACCATAAATAAGAAATGTTTGGAGTGAGACTTCAAGCCATGTAATGATGGCAGGTCTGGCTGCCATTCATTTGCAAATTGTAGTGGACAGAATAAAGCATAGAGTCAGATGAGTGACTCTTGGTATGTGGTATCCGCTGAAATATAAAGCATGAAGCGTTACGGCTTTGTCCTCGAGCAGCTACTGGGAACCAGTGGTGTACTCCCATACTCCCAACAGGAAAGGCCTTGTCTTCCAGGTCTTCTACAGAGTGTATCTGCATGACTGGGAGGCCACAGCAGTTTGGTCCATGAAGACCACCTTGTCATCTATCACTAAGCTGAAGTTCGTTGCAGATGATATTGATGAGTTGATTTTGATGGCGATGCCGTGCATTGCAGGGTCACTGGGGATGACAGGAAGTCCTGAGGCTGAGTTCAAATTCTTTCATTAAGGTAGCAGCGTCACTGAGGCAGCCTGAGATTGTAGTCGAGATCATGGAATTGTCCAGAGGGAAGGACAGGTGCAGTTGTAGGAGAAGCTGCATGAGTGGATGATTGGCCCTAAGAGGTTGTGTACAGTGAGAAAAGGAGGAGACAAAGCCCCGATCCCAGGGGTACCCAAGGTGTTATTCGCTGTGACTTAGAGACCTCCTCCCTCTATGACACCTTGTAGGTCTGTCCAGAGAGAGTTGACAGCCATTCTTGTAATCTTAAAAACACTGCCCTTGCTTCTCCAGGCTGGTGGTGGCAGTAGAGGAGGCATTCACGCACATCCGTCGCATCCAAGAGGAGGAGCAGAAGAAGTCACCCGGGGATGTGATGGATCCACGTGAAGCGGCACAGGCCATCTTTCCTTCCATGGCTCGTGCACTGCAGAAGTACCTGCGCACCACCCGTCAGCAGCACTGCCACAGCATGGAGAGCATTCAGCAGCATCTGGCTTTCTGCATCATGCACAACATGACGCCTAAGGTAAAAAGTCCGAAAGTGCAGCTAGGCGACATACGCTGTTTGTGCAAAAGTATCCAAAGCCCCCTTGTAATAAATTCAGCTACTTTAAGATGCACTGCTGACACAGGCATTTGTGATCCAGAGCTTTTGTGGTTGATTTCAATCAAATCCTCACAACAGTGTTACAACAGCGTGTCTAAAGCTTTCCCAGAAGAGTAGAGGCTGTTATTGCAGTAAAGGGGAGTACGCTCCTCATAATACCTTATAACCTTGATTTTAGAAGAAATGTTGAATGAGAACGTGTCTCCAAATGTTCGGACATTCATTAACATGTCTTGAGTGATCTGATCATAAGTGGACAGCACTAAGTACACACGCTAAGCAGCTGGGTCCAATGTGTCCTGGAAATGTGATTGTGATCCGATCACTTAAAACCACCTTCAGGGGTGGACGGTTATGACCACATAACATTTGTCGCGTGAACACTCACTGTCCCAACAACAACAGACCACCTAATGAACTCCCTCTTTACAACATATACAAAATCAGCTGCACTGTGCAGCTTCTGTCTTGGCAGCTCATACTTGGATGTGAACAAGGAGATGTAACACATTTTTGTCTGGCAACAAACACCATGAGAGACTGATGTGTGTGGTACGCTTCCTCTTGTCATGAAATCTGACCACATGTGGTCACTGGAGATGCTTTCAAGACATTGAAATGCCAAGTGTGAACAACTATACATCTCACTGTCCATTTGTGATCAGATCACTTAATGTATGGATGTTAATACCAAGTGTAAACAGGGCCAAAGGTTACTTTTATCCATTTTTATACATAACAGTTTAGTCTATATGAGATTCCTTAACATCTTGATGTGGTTTGAGGCTTGTGTGATGAGTCAGGTGTGCAGTTTCCACCATGCTAATTTTGTGCATAATTGCGTTTAAGCCTCCATTACTTCTGAGCTACTTCAGCCCTGTAGCTCCAGTGCAAAACTAAAGAAGAAAACTCCCAACATGCTTTGGGTAATGGGAAAAATTGTGTAAATTTGACTTTCGTTGAGCTGTTCCTTGTTACCAGCTTGAAATGATTGCCAGAACTGTGTTTATTACACTTGCAAGCATGTTTTCCTAAACACTGAATTAACTCAAGTGAACACTGTCAGATTTAATTCAGGTTAGTTAACAAGTTAGTTAAGAAGCTGTCATCATCAATTAAAGTACCATAGCTGAGCCAGTCCATGTGTCTGCCAGTGTTTATAAGACATTTACTTGTGCTTGTTCTGTGGCAGGCGTTTCTGGAGAGCTACCTGACGCCGGGCCCTACGCTGCAGTATGGCCGTGAGCGCTGGCTAGCCCGCCAGTGGACCCTCATCAGCGAGGCCTCGGTGACCAGCGGCCTGAAGGAGGGCTCCATATTTGTGCTCAAGTGCATAGACTTTAGCTTGGTGGTCACCACCAAGAAGATCCCCTACATCAAGCTCTCTGAAGAGTTCATCGACCCAAAGTCCCACAAGTTTGTCCTGCGACTACAGTCGGAGACTTCGGTGTAGACATGTTATCTGTTTGTTTGTTTTTTTTCCTTTTTTTCCTCTTTCAGTCGCTCACAAGCTAATTTTTTTGGTTGAAATTTTCTAATTTTTGGGTTTGCGTTTTTATGTAATATATACATATGAATCTATATATCACATATTTGAATATATTTCTTTTTCTTCTTGGATTTTTTTTTTTATCGGGTTGGACAGGCACATTAGCAGGATGCTGCGTGCTAACGTTCCAGTCATGCAAAGTGTGCTAAGACATGCAAGTGTAACTAAAGAGAATATAGTACACAAGACTCTACATTCACTTTTAAAACCCAGAAACAATACAGAGGAGTGGAAGGAGATGTAACTGCCCTCATAACTGTCCAGCGGACCACTCAAAATGGTGGAAGCACCCATTCTAAAGGAGGAGACAGTCCTTCGTTTCTCTTTTCTCACAGCTCAGACTCTCAGACTTGAACATGTTCAGGCAAGCGCACTGTGAATCAAACCCAACCCCTCTGGACTGGATTTCTCCACTTGTTCGCCACATGTTTCTGTGCGAGCGGACACCTGAACTGCTGTGCGCTCCCAGGCCGCTATACTTGCTCTCTCTGCAGCAGAGGTTGTTATAGCAACGGGGCTTTTGCTCCACAGGGTTGGCAAACATGACACACGGTCTGAGTGATGACCTTTTTTCTACTGTAAGTGCGTACGAACTCTACTGGTGCTTCTTTTTTCCATCAACACATTTGCTCTGTCTTTTTGCTGATGATACACTACATAATCATGTTTTCTATTGACATAACATTGTTTTACGGATGTGAGGCGTCACTATGTATGTAATGGAGTTATGTTCATGCCGGTTCAGTGAATGGAACCAATAGTTTTGGTTTTACACTATTTTGTTTGATTTTAAACTCTCCTTGGAAGCTACATTTGAATGGCTTCTGGGCTTTGTAGTTTATTCATCAAAAAGGACCCTAACAAAAATTTTCAAGCCCCTCAAGGTCGCTACTGCTTTGCTTTTTGAGTATAAAGCAAAGGCCAAATACAGTCAGCCTAGCTTTTACTGTGTCACCAATATCTAGGTACTTACTAGATAAAAAGTCAAAACCCAGCCTGTTTCCAACATATTGCTGCCAGTGCCATCAAAGAGTGGAAGAGCATAGTATTCATCCAAGGTGTCATTGTTTGTTCAATTAGTTGTTCTCTATAGGGAAAAGTGAATGCTGTTTTCAAAAATTGCTCTGTGCTTAACCAATGAATTCCAAAGCCTATACATTTTGTCCTTTTTACATTTTTCCCATGATTATCACTGTTATTTGAATTACGAAGTCATTCAGTAGTCAAAATAGGAATACTGCTACATACAGTCATAAGGAAGTGTGGGTGCTCCGGGTCAAATTAGTTTTGTTGATTTTCTGTGAAAATAAGTTAACACATCACGCTATAGCACATTTTAAAGCACAATTACTGTTGCCGAATTTAACAACTTAAAAGAAAACATAAAAAACCAAAAGTTATGGCATGTAGCAAAAAAAAACGTTTTACAATTTGTTGAAAAATGGCATATTTTAGTTTAGTTTTGTTCTCTGTAGAGGATGTGTTAACATATTTTTACTTAAGAAATCAACAAAGCGTATGCAACTGTGTATGCAACATGCAAGCTAACACCTCTGGGCATTTAATTGACCCTGAAAGACTGGCAACCTCACCAAAATACCCAGCACAAACCAGCAAGCTTTATTTGGTGTGGTTGTGAAGTGGTTTTGGCAGTAGTGGGCTACACTTTGAGTAGCGAGTGTTATATAATAGTGTTGAAATAGTGTAGAGTTGTAGTTGTAGCCTTACTTTTATGATTTCAATGCAGTGACTTCAGTTAATTGCTCAGTAGAGTTACAGCGTTTTTTACATTTGGACCATTTTATTATTAAAAGTGGTCTCAGACCAGTGAGTCATGGTTTTCTGTGCGTATGTGAACCCGCCAAACGAACTTAGACCCCTTTAACCAGACCAACAAATGAACCGGTCTCAGTACACTTTGTGGTTCATTCTGTGATCTAGCAAAGGGTAGCAGCTCTGGCATATTAAAGCCATTAGAGGCCATGTGTTACAATGTTTTTACCATGGTTAAAGGATGACGTTATACATGACGCAACATGGAATTAAACCCCCAACTTGTGGTGAAATCACTGTAATGCATGGCCTCAAGTGGCTTTTTGCAGTGACAAACAATATAAGAAAATACGCTGTTCAATAAAAGAAATACTATAACTTTAATTCTATGAACACCTCAGAACTTTATAATGGCTCAGCCAATCAGATCTGTATATAATGAACTATATAATAGAACAAGAAGTGGTCTGAGATCTCTAGAATGCTAAAGAGGACCAGAAAGAGAAGTGAGTCCGCTTTAAAGTTCACTTGCATTGAACACAAAAAATGAGGTCGTTTGCAGCTGATTCCCTGTCAGATTCACTTAAACAGAACCAATTTTGTTTTTTTTTTAAAAGAACTACATGTGAAAACACTCTTAGCTTGCAGCATAATTAGCAGTAATATTTTGATTTCCTTAATGCCCTCATAATTCAGAGGGCCCAGTGACACTGTGGTCAAAAAATGTATGCTGGACAAAACTGCAACATTTGAACACACTGAACATCATTATTTGTTCCCATAGAGAAAAAAATGGCTTAGACACCTGTTGTAAAATGACACAAAACCCCTGAGGCAAAAAATCTCACATGACTGCAAAAATGAGCCAGTCAGACTCTTATCAGAACACTACTCAGCATTTACACACTGAATTCATCTTAATTCTGTTTTGGAGCTTATTAACATTATATCAAGCATCGCTAATTGTTTCATGTTTATATATTTCTTGAAAGGAATGGCCTTGTGAGTGTAGACATTTCATTTCAGAAGGATAGTTTGATCAATAATGCTAATGTGGCATCATTTTTTTCAGAAATGAGAGTTTGTGCCTCTCTTTCCACTACTGGTCTATGCTAACTCTATGACCAAAGATAATGATGTAAACTCTCTGAGGTTTTTGAGAAAACGCAGTAGTTGTGATAATGTGGTCACTGAGAAAGCACTTAAAACGCACTGAGATGCTTGTAGAGAACATTAGTAGAGGCTAACCGTCTTTGTGTTGCGGAAGAGTTCTAGCACCAAAGCTTTGAGAGATGTGTAAGCCGTAGCGAGTAGTGAGTCGTAAGTGGAACTCAATTTTTGCTTTAACAATGATGAATGAAACGCAAGTCCATTTATCATGATTTGCACATTTTTTGTTTTCTTATGCAGCCATTTTTATATCATCACTCATCAATTCAAAAGCATTTTTTGATTTGGAAACATGAGTAAGCGATTTTTGAAGCAGGATTAATATGCAAGCCATTTCACCTCAGGGTGAAACAACACAGTGCATAGTCATGCATTCAAATCAGGCTTGTCGATTCAAAAGGACAACCACTTAGTGCCCTCTAGTAGAAGTCACTGAATGTGTCGGCCCTCTGATTGGCATCAAAGCACCAAATTAATGTTAATTATAACTACAAAGGGGATGATTTTTTCAGTACAGTGTTTTACTGCCATCAAATTAAACCATGCAAATGTTATTTTTCTTACCCTTCGTGAACAAAAGATGTTCCTTTAATATCATTCAGACGGTTTTTGATGACAACAGTGATGATGGTGATGACTGGTGTGTGCGTTTTAGATGAACCTCTCTCACAATGTGACCGTGCCTCTGTTTTTACACAGTGTGTTTGTATTTATACTGTATATGTGCATAATTAAGTCATTCCTGCTTAAAACACTTCCGTTACAGCTCACACTTTTCACCTGTCGCTCTGAAAGGCCAACATTTATATACCTGACGTTACGTTGTAATGAATATGTTTGAGTTCACAACACAAGATATTTGTATGAAATAAACATTTGTATGAACATTGGTAAGGCTTTGGAATTTTCTTTTTCTCACAGTTTTCCACAAAAGAAAATTGGTGCATGAGAAGAACCCCCCAACCCCACCACCCCTGAGATTATAGCCCTGGGGCATTATTATTTGAAAGTCTCTCTGGGGAAGAATAGCAAGCTAGTTGCAGTATTTAGATAATATTGCTTCAACTAGCATATTAGTTTTTGGAAAATCATTCTTGTTGAAATCCTCAAAGTAAGACTGCAACTAACATTTCTTCCTATAGTCGGGTAAACTATTCTGTTGACTGTTTTTCTTTCAGTAGATCGACTGGGCTAACTAACAGAAGACGTTACACTGGTGTTTTTGTTTTAAATGTTTGTCCATCCAAAATGAAAAATGTCACCTTTCCTACTGTTGAGAACGTGCTTACTCACATCTAAGGGTGTAACGATTCACAGAATTCTGAATTTGATTTGATATGATACAGTGGTGTCTCAGTTTATTAGAATTCGATACAGCAAACGTAAGGAGTACCTGAAACCACGCTTTACATTACTGTGTACATTTCCATTTTCAGGTCATATGAGCATTTAACATTATAACAGTGCAATGTTTACCACAAAAGCAGTGATTTATAGTGTCCCGATTAGCCCCAAGCTAACACCAGCCAGAAGCTAAGAAGTTAGTCACGATACAATACAATATGATGTGCTGTGATGTAATTCGGTACAGTACAGTACATTGTATTGCTACATCCCTACTCACATTATACAACAGTGCTGCAGTAGTCTAAAGACTTAAGAACCTCCTTCTATTGATGGATCTTGAAAGTGAGAGGCCTTTTTTTGCCAGCTGGTGAATACAGAGGGAAGGTAGCCCTGCCTACCTAGCTAACGTTACTGAAGCTGAACGTCTTATCGCAGCTCTGTTACTATAGTAACCGTGAAATCTGGGAAATCTTTACAGTAAAGACAATGGGTGACTCAAAGGACAGAAATGAGGTAAAGGCTAACGTTAGCTAGGTATCTGGCTATCTAGAAATCTTACCTCAATGAGGCTTGTTTTTCTGGCTGAAAGGGTAAAAAACTAGTTTCTTCTGTCAGTTTTGTGCTTAATAAAGACAATCAGTTTTTTTTATGAGGTTAAATGAGTTAAACTAATGCTCTCTTGGTTGTATTTATTGGCCTCTTTAGCAGCCAGGATTGGTTGACCCCACAGGGATTAGTTGAATAATGCATGCTGAGTTTTGCAGAGAGAGAAAATAAAAATATGAAAACAACACAAAATCATGAATTCTGTCAAACGGATGAGTCTGAGGGATATAATGTGTCACAGAAAACTGCAGAACATGACAAAACAACACATTAAACTCAGAATTGCCCTTTTAAGGAAACAATGCATGATCAACAAAATTATTACATTGACAAAATGTTGCAGTCAAACATCAAACTACAATCCCTTTTATACTTTTTACTTACACTTAATTTTCATAATTACTGATTGTAGCTTTAACCCTCCTGCACATAATGTGTGTTATTACAATAAAGCAGTAGGCACTTGTGTGACTCACTATCACAAACTTGTCACACTGGATTAGTATTTGAGCCTTGCTTTGGGTCGGCTGCTTTCAAAGGTTTCATCAAACATGCCAGGTCGCCCCCGTCACTTAGTGAGTCATGTGTCTGGCTTTTGACCTTCATGTCATAAATCCCAGAGAGAGGATTTTTATGGGAAGGTAATGGCAAGTCAGGGTGAGTGGTCAAGAGCTAAGTTCATTACTTTGGATGAATCACATTTTTTTTTCCCTGCTTTTAACCACAGTGTGTACTGAGATTGACTTGGCAGTAAGGGTTTGAGGGGCGGCTGAAGTAGAAGTAAACAGGCATTCTGGCCTAAAAGTAATGTTTAAATAGTATTTATGTTAATCAGTGTTCCGTAGCACAGCAGCGTGTGCCTCAGCCTCATCGGTGTGACTGAATTCACGATTTTACATTGTTTTTGTGTTTTCATCCATCAGGGTTCTTTTATTACAATACCCAGCATGCATTACACATATACATTATACAACCACTGGAAATCCTTGTGGTGTCAACTAATTGTGATTGCTAGCTTAGCTGCTGATCTATAGGCTAATAAATACAACCAAGCTTGCATTAGTGTAACTCTTACCTCCGTCAACAAACAATACATTACACAACCATTGGGAATGTTTATGATGCAGCAAATCCTGATTGCTACACTGGAAAAAATAGTATTGTGTCAAGTGAAATGATCTTAAATCTAGTCGATTTATCTAATATTTCTTATTTTGAGATGGTTGTGCACTTATTATAAGATTATCTAGCTTATTTTTAAACATTTTTTACTTGTTTTAAGTAATTTTATTAAGTAAAATGATCTCACTATAGTGGCAGATAATTTTGCTGGTTTTAAACACATTTCTTAAAACAAGCAAAATGATCTACCACTATAGTGAGATCATTTTACTTAATAAAATCACTTAAAACAAGTTAAAAAGTGTTTGAAAATAAGTTAAATAATCTTAAATTAAGCTTATATAAGCTTATATCAATCTGTGATGCTAGCTAGCATTAGTGATGTAGCACTAACCTCAATTGTTTTTTCTTTGTTAAGGAAATAATTCAATGAAAGAATTAGCCAGATTGCAAAAAAACAATAAAAGAAAATAAAAATAATCAAACCGCACGCCCCTGCATCTGCCCCAAAGCACAAAATCTCCATGTTACATCATTAGAAGGGGTGGTTTTTTAGTCTTTAATCCAGGAAATCTCTCTTATGAGACTACTGTGACACTGTACAACAAATGAAGCAATTTGTCCCTTTAATAGAAGTTGTGGTTATCATGGCAGTAACGAAAGCATGTTTACTCATTTCATATGAATTATTTCTCACTCATTCATTGAAAGAAAAAGAGAAATTCTGTCCATTGTGTGGATTCTAAATGTTCAATTGATACCAAGTTTATCTTTGTAAGTAGATGTTGTATTATCATTAGAAAGTGATGAAAAGTTATTGTTGTCATTGTACATTTTTATCTTGCAGAAAGAAAAAACATCCGTTTTTGTAATTTTTTGACTAACAGAAGAAAGTTAGAGGGTAAAACTTAAACCTGTTGATACGGAATGTAAATCAAATGTACACTCAGTGTATGTCATTAATTAGGTGTATCTAATTATCTAATTATATTTAAATAATAAAACAACACCTCCAGGTTTCTAAGGGTTAATCTACAGTTTTCCAGAGGACAGGTTGAGTTCCGATGCCCTAATTATCCTACCGTCTATTCCTTGCAGAGACCTAATTAGCCTTTAGAATCTTGTATGAAAGCGACCCTGACACATGCACATTTTTCACCTCCACACAAAGCTGCCCACAGCCTCTGCCTTCCTATTTTCAGGAAAGAAGCTGATCGCTGGACGCTTCCATTTCGTCTCCTGGGCGACCGACTGCACTGGTGGCACAGATTTTAGCCAGGCTTCGAACGTCTCTTGTCTGGGGATGCCCCCTTCACCCACTCGTTATGCATAACGCAAGCTAATGATGCTAAATAATTGAAACAGGCGTGAATAATTCAGGGCCCGGGGCACAGAGGTGCTGTACTGAGAGTGTGAGAGCGAGCTGACCTTACATTAATGAGGGAGCCAGAATGTGGACACAGGAGGTGACACACATACACAGTCTGAAACTAATAATAATCAGTTCCATGCTTGACTCACCGCATAAGCAAACTCACACTGAAGTCCTCTGAGGAACTGAACAGCATATTAGGCTGTATTTACATTGCAGGGGTGAATTGGCTTTGGATTTTTTTGGCCTGATGATCTCTGTTGTGGCACCCAGGTGGTGGAACGAACGTTCCCCCAGCTGTCCGAACATCCATCTTCAAACACCATCCAACAACCCATCTCTTTCAAAACCATTTAAATAAGCACTAATCATGCAGTTATTATGTGTTTTGTCATCTCCGCGAATCTATGTGTCCATCTAGGCATCAGCACTCACTCCTGTATCTGCCAGTGCAATAAGTTAAAGGGGAATTCCACCACTTTTTTTCACATTTCTGCAGAAAACAATTATTGAGTCATTCAGAGTGGTTTGATGTGAAATGTTCCATTCTAGAGAAATTTACCGAGCCAGAATAGTTCAAAGTGATGGTGTTTGATGTGAGATCATCAATTGTGGAGAAACGTACTGGGTCAGATTTCTTTACAGTGGTAGTAATAGGTAACAGGGGTCACAATGTCTACAACACAAATGTAGCCAATTTATTTACTATCCAAAACCACCAGTGAACTACATGTGTCTGAGTTTTTATATGGAATGTTGACGATGGCAAAATAGCTGTAATTCTGAAAAAAAAATTAAAATGCTTTGAGGACTATTTAGGCTTGCATGTTGGAACCATTCAGTGTATTAACTTTCTGTGAGGGAGCTTTTAAAGGCCTTGAACTCTTCAGATGTCTGGTTCCTATCACCATCACTGTGAACAATTCTGACTCAGTAATTTTCAATAGAATAGACCATCCCACATCAAACCACTTTGTTGACTTTCTTTACAACTTAATTATGCTGAAATTTTGGAAAATTGGTGGAATTGCCCTTTAAGGTTATTTATCCAAGCTGAAAACAAAGCAAGTCTCTCTGGAGAAGGGTGTTTGTTAAATGTCAATGCAAGTGTACAAAAAAAAGTTCAAATCGATTTATTGCTAGAGAAACTTTCATTATAACAAGAACTAAATATTACATGTAACAGTTCAGTTTTCACCAAAAATCAATTCAAACTTCTAATAATTCCTTTTTTAAAACTGAATTAGCCAGAATTACTGTTAATATTTAATTCATTCTAATAAAAATTGTTCATCACATTAAAATGAACTGGGAAAAGACATGAATCCTAACTAATGTTATTTGAAATGCTAATATGTAATTCCTGTGAGTAACATCTGAATTTTGACATCACAAACATGTTAAAACAGTTTGCTATAATGATCCATTTAAGTTTGTTGTAGTTGTTTGTTGTATCTAAGGACTGAATAAAGTTGACTGGAGAGTGGCCTCTAATCTGTGTGCCTTGCATCCAAATCTCACCCAAGCGACTAAGCTGCCTTCAGTAGCGATCACAATATTACCAGCATGATTGAGAATAATCATTAATTATGCCCTCTTAATACGAAACAGAATGCAAATGTCACCACAGAGTCCAGAGTTTAATTACCATTACTTTTACCATCTCAGAACAAATACAGGATCTGCTACGTCTTGCCCACCGAGTTGCTACAATGAATGAATTCCTACAGAAATGTGTGGAGGATATTCTACTGAAACACATAATTCAGATGACATCTTTATGAACCAGTTGATCCAATGAGTTTCACTTTTTCTAAAAGCACCAATGGAATCATATTATTATTGACACATATGCTAAATACTGCATAATATGTAAAAAAGGGTTAAATCATTAGTTTTTAGATGTTCTACACCTCCACCAATCAGTCATCATCGTCATCATCATCATCATCATCCCTGTCGTCATCGTCGCTGTCATCATCATCAATATCATTGTCATCATCGTCATCGTCATCATCATCATCAACATCGTCATCCTCAGTGTTGACCTTCCCTGAGAGAACGTCCTCAATCCAGTCCTCCAGCTCTTCAGCTGTGGGCAGAGCTTCATCGTTGGGCATGTTCAACCACACACTGTCCGCCTGTGAAAAGTCACACATCCGCTCACTCATCATCATTAATCATGAGATTTTACGGTGGGGCTGTCAGTCTCCAGTCCTGGAGGGCTGCAGCGCTTAGCATTCTAATCATGTTAGCATTCCGAATAAGTTGTTCAATAAATTGTTAAATACTTTCATGTTTTATTGCTATTCCCAAGAAACTACTCAAAACGGCGCAGGAGTGTCCCTAAACCTCAACACTCATTAAGAATGCGAAGATCTATGAATATGCATGATTATGCAAACTGCAGACGCCCCCTTACTGCCCCTTTTGTAAACTCGAATCATGCCCGAATCATGCAAAAAAAAATAAATAAATAAATAAATAAATAAATTTTGATCCAGATTTAATTAAAGCTGCACTATGTACAAGTGTTTTGGTTAAAATTGAAAGAAGTAGCATTACTGAGTCAGGAGAATTTGGAATGTATGCGCTGCTGCAAGTTGACCTGACAGTGATTTTAAAGTCAGAGGCGTCGGGCCGGATGCAAGTTTTTCGGACCATAACACACACACAGGCTCAAAAAGAAAGTCCGGCTTGATGTTTAGATCTCAAATGTAAAATCAACATTTTATTGATGAAGATATGATGACAATAATAGCTAATTCACTCACATCTTTAGAAGACGCGTCCTTCACCAAGTTCTGACGAGTTCTCGTCAAATTGATTTCAACACGCTCACAGTCATAAGATTCATCCTCTCAGGGAAGGGGTCCAAACCATGACCCATGTTACAAAATGCTCTTCTGCCCGTTGCATGCAATTACACATTTCCATCAGAGAGGTCTCCAAATATTACATAGTGCAGCTTTAAGTAAATAAATTAATGCAAAACACCCACATTTGAAAATCAGAACATGATCAATCTGTTACAGTCAAAGTGCAAAAAACACATTTTGTTATTCATCTTCACATAGGCGTTTCATGTAGTGTGACACAGTCAACCATCAGGCTGCTGTTCATAAACAAGTGTAAACTAGCTAGCCAGCCTTTTCTTACTAACTTTCTAATTTTCGTTTCATTTCATTTGAACTACAGTAAGGCTAAGGAGGTTGTGCACACAGGCTTCTGAAGATGTGCATCATTCTGTTGTCAGTGTCACGCCCATTAGTGACCCACAGTCATTAGTGATCTCGTAATTCGGAGGTGTCTGAACAGTGGTAGCAGTGATTTCCAAAAACGTCATTTATTTTTCTCTCTTGACATAAACAGGATGTCAACTACAGAATGACGACATGACTTGAGAGGTCTGTGGTGCCTGAACATCAACCTGCTGTGTCAAAAAACCTACAACCTCATAGGACCCCCTGCTGGCTAGGGAGCCTTAAACAGCCACTTATAACGCTTATAGCAAGCAATGACCCTGTTTTTCTTTTGCCCGCTGTAGCCATCCCTACTGCTGTCATTGCTTAAAGCCCTTACTAATCTCTGCAGAGCTGTCCATCCAGGACCTCCAGGAGTTTGACTGTGATGTGAGCTATTTGTAGTCCAATGTGACCTCAGATTGGACCTAACTAGGTTGATTGTGCAGACACTAAACACCATGAATAAATAATGAACAAAACTGGCCTATCTATGCTCCGCCCACAGATGAGTTCTTTCAGAACAAATGTTGCAAGTTCAGACAAAATGTTGGCAAAAATCTCATTCAGCATAATGAAAAATTGCAGCTTGTAACTCCAAAACCTCAATTTAGTGTGTGCTATTAATTTTAAATTATACACATTAAAGCTGGACAATATGACAATGTATTTTGTTAACGTGATGCAATTGCATGTTTCATTATAAAGAGAGCAAAATTAATCACATTTAACTAGATTTAATGCCAAATATTGAATAAATATTAAAATGTAGCCCTACTGGTTCTTTTTTCTCAGTTCCAACTGATTACATGTCTGAAAAAATAAATATCGTGACATATCGATTATCGTGAAAATTGCTATACCACCCACCACTAATATGCATACAGTCGTATGCAAAAGTTTAGACACCCTGGTCAAATGACATGTTCTGTTGAGTTTCTAAGAGGAAAAGATAACATATCCTCTAACATATTGGGGAAAAAAGTGTCAAATTTAAAATGTGCCATAACTTCCACGTTTAATTGTGCATTAAAATGTGCGGAATGTTTGCATATGAATGTATTTTGTGTGTGTGAGAGGTCATGCTGTTAAGATAAATATACTGGCTTGGGCTTGTAATCAAGCTAACATCAGCATGGTGGAAAATTTTATGGTGTTGACATTTCCAAGCTGCCTAGTTTCACTTAGCTATAGTAACACAGTGCATTGTGATAGCATAGAATTTTAAACTGAAAACTCAATATTATGTAGTGAGCAAACCTTCTAAACAAATACTGTAGTGGTCTAGTGTGAATAATGTATATTAAACAGAGTTGTGTGCTAGTTTCAATATTTTGATTGAGAATTTTAGCCAAAGTTCTGTAAAGTTTGTCCAACCTAGCAACAGCTGCTACAAAGAACATGTGTGGGTGGAGTATGGACAAGTCCATTACATCAGTGTAAGGTAGTACTGAGGGAAACTCACATCTGTCACGTTGACCACACCGATCTGAGGCCTGAACAGGTCCACTTTAAAGGTCTTCTCCCAGTAGGCGGTCAGCTGTGTGGAGAGGTCAGGCATTAGAGTTCTGGCACAAGACTCCTGATGAGTCTGATGATGTCATGACCAGTCTGAGGTCTCACCAAGGGGAAGTCGTCAGGGTCGATCCACACTATGCTCAGATCAGGGTTCTTGGTGTTGTCTCTCGCCACCTCTTTCAAGATCTCCAGGAATTCATATCCATCTAAAAATGAACATACGCTGTATGAAGGCTCTGGTCTGAGGTATCTAGACTTGTAACCTGTCGTGGAGTCTCATAACCGTATGTGTTTAGACAGAACCGTACATTCATTAGAAGAATGAAACAAAGACAAACCTGGGTCCTCCTCCTCAGCAAAAGCCACAATGTGGATCCCGTCCATGTCATCCTCCTGTAAATCAAATAAAAGAACTCTCAGTTTTTTATGTATTTAATTTAAAGGACTACTTCACTCAAAAATGAAATATATACAATTTTCTCCTCACTCCAAATGTAGTTGTGATGCCTTAAAAAAGCTGCTGCTTCTGCTTTTAGCTATGCAACATACTTTTGTCCATTTTTATAGATGGCAGTGTCTCATACAGTGTCAGAAAACACATAAATCAGTAGATAAAAAGAATGATTTACATTTTTTCTTGTGATTTATGTTTTCCCCTAAGGTCCACTTATGACTTGTTTGGTTTTAATTTGCCAAAAACAGTTAGAATTCACTATTTTCCAAAACTTGCTTGATTCCTGTGAACATGCTGTCATTGTTACTGTGTCTTTAAGATCGACACTGTATATGTAAATAAGCTCTGTTCTGATTGGCTTCCCGGTTTTGTGCCTCATTCAAAAAGCAGTCCCAGCTAAAATGTATAACTTCAGTGCGAATGGGTGGAGCTTAACTGCTGGAGGCTGAATAGACAGGTATATGTGAATGTGCTGGTTTTTGTGACATCACAAAACAGTAAATTCAAAAGTGGGCTGTTTTTGGAGTGTAGTCAGACTGTATGGACTGGGGAGTAAACGGTACGGTTAGAAACTTCAACAATGTTTACATACTAAATTGGATTTTACATGACAGGGGCACTTTTCTCAATGCTAATTGTTAAAGCATGAGCTTTCATTATGCTAGCTACATTAGCCTCAAAGATCCCGAGCAAAACATGGGGCCCAACATATCTTGGTGGATCGACTGCACTTGAGGTAAGAAGAAAACTGAGTGGTTTTTTTTTTTTAGAAAAATAACACTTCTACTTAAGGCTGCTGAAGTACTGACACCTAACGTGCCATTGCAAAAAATATTTGCAACAACAAAGTGTTCCCTCACAAAATGTTTGCATTCTCTCGCAATTTTTTTGCATCCCCTTGCAATATTTTTGCGATCCCTTGCAAAATCCACTGCATTTGCAAGGCAATGCAAAATTATTACGAGAGAACACAGTGTCATTACCTCTTTATTTTTTTGACCAAGACACCTAGTGGCTCCATACTCAAGACTCTACTCACCCAAGTCTCGAACATATCCTCTGCACGCAGCTTCCTCAGGGTTGGCCTGAACAGAAACACATTGGTAGACTTATAATCACGCGTACCAGTGACACTAACCCAAACAGTCTTGGGCTCACCTTCGGTGCCGACTGACAAAGTCCACTATCTCATCCTCTGAGTTGGGTTTGCTGGGTATGGTGATGGGCTCGTCCATGAAGGGCTCATAAAAGTCCACTTCATTCATCTTAAGAGTCAGCTGCTTCGCCACCTGTAGCAGAACACAGCCACACAACATGCTCAGACGCACTGCAGCCTTTATTCTTAATTAGGCACTCTTTGCAGTTTTTTTTGCTTGCAGCTAATTTACTTCAATTCTGTAGAAGAGCTCAATTCAATACCTGTTAAAATGTGCAGAGGAATGTAAGGAGCTGTTTTGGGCACTTGCTTTTCACATCATTCACTTGAATTGGCAATCCTGGACCCTGCAAATTGTTGTGTTTTCCCTGCTCACCTGCTACACCTGATCCAACCAATTAGCCAATTCTTCTTGAGTTGCCATTTTATGGTTTGTCTAGATGACCCTCACAAGCTTTTTTTCCAAGTGTACGACCACCAATGTACTTAAATGGCTTACAGTCATAAATACAAGCAAAAAAGTGAAATAAGTTAACACATCCTTTACACAGAACACACTTCTGCACATTTTAATGCACAATTACTGTTTATTTACCGAATTTAACATACTGGAAGAAATAATAAACAGAAAATCTGGCCTGTGCCGGTCCTGGAGATCTGTCCCTGTTATTTTTACCTGTTTAAGCTAATTAACTTCAAACTTGCATAATGTCATCACAGCCACAAGATGCTGTATGATGTTGTTTTGATTGGTCTTAGCATAATGTTATTGGTGTAGTCTAGAATATATATATATGTATATGTATATAGTGCAGAGTTGGGCTGCTACCAGGGTTGGGCATCAACACTAGCTATTTAGGTGCCAAAAAAGGCTGTCTGTCTGAGATTCTCCCTTTTAATATTGCATATGTATCCATCTGCTAAGGTTTCTGTAGCATTTTGTAATGTGAGTGCACTTACCCCTTTGTCAAAGGTGGCAAAAAACTTCACGTATGGCTGAAATCGCTCTGCAGCTCCCTGAAAGGCCTTGTAGTCTGAAAGTAAAGGGAAGGTTTAGATGTAAACGGTGTGAAAGAGCAGCAGGCAGAGAACAAGAGAGACCACGGCACTCACGTGCCCCCATCAATCCCTTTAATAATGTGGAAAATTGCAAGGGAAGAATGGCACAGTAAAATCTCAAAGCGATACGCTGTCAAATGGCTCTACAAGACCGTATCTGTGGGGCTTTGCCCCAACAATATGTCTGGAGGTCACGGCAGAGGCCTCTTCAATCTTCCTCTCTTGAAATGGGATTTTTAATAAAGGCTGGGGTGCAGTCATAAAAAGAGGAAGATAATACCTTTCTCCTCTCTACACCCTCTGTATTTGGGGAAAGCTCTATGATTGTTCTTGATCCATACAACAGAGTGGAAGACCTATTTATAGTCTGTTGAGTTGACTGGCATTTGCCATGGAACAATGTGAAAGCGTGCATGGTTGGTTTCCTCGAGTTAGACCTTGTAGACTCCCTTGAACATAGGAGATTAGCATGGCTGGAACAACAAATTGGCAAAGGTGGAGCTCTGGTCTAGCTCCACATTGAAACAACTGAAATTTGGTGTCTGAAATTTGCTTCTTTAGTTTTGCTCTAGAACTGTGAGGCTAATGTAGCTAACAAGTAATCAAAGCTTACATCTCACTAGTTAGCAGTGTGAAAACTAAAAGCCTGTGTTGCATACCTTGTTAAGTTGTGGCAACAACTTGGGAATAACTTAATTATCTCATACTCATGCCTTACTTAGTTGTGGCCGTGTATTACGATCCTGTTCTCACAGTAAGTTGTAGCAATGCATCATTTTTATTAAGAAAGGACATCATCAGTTTTGCTCCATATCAAATGCTTGCCACAAAATGCATGAAGTTGTAAGTAATTTTAAATAGACTTGCTTATGTGGTTTCTGATCCTGCATGACAAACAATTATCTACAAAAAGCCTGATTTTGTCTCCGGTGCAAAAATAAAAAAAACAAGATTGAGACACCCAACATGTCTTGGCTAATCAATGGTATTTGCCTAATACCTATTACACTGTATGGTGGGGCAAACTCTAGACACACTAGTATGAATTAGTTGGAGGTAAAAGACTCACGTTCTGACTCTCTGCCCTTGAAGTAGCCAATGAGGCGGATATCTTCATCCATTCTCTCAAAGGCCCGCAGCTCCATGGGGTTACTAATCAGCTCCACTGCGTCCTCCAGCAGCTACACACACACACATCTCTTTGTTTTATTACAGTGTCAGAATGTGTGGTCACACACACACACACACACACACACACACACACACACATATACCCACACACACTTACCATGTAGGTTCACTTTGTTGTTTTACAGTTACAGAATATGGTTCATCTGTTTCTCTGCATATTTTGTTAGCCCCTTTCACCTTGTTCTTCAATGGTGAGTACCCCCACAGGACCACCACAGAGCAGGTATTATTTGGGTGGTGGATCATTCTCAGCACTGCAGTGACACTAAATTTCCTTGTAAATTAATGTAGCAGTTTTATTCTGGAGCATTTCTATTGGTCCATTCGTCATGAAATTTTAAAATTATGTAAAAAATGAAAAATCAAAATTAGAGATATAAAATTACGCCCCCTACTGATACAGAGATGAAATAAATGAGCAAAATCCAACTATAATCATTTCAGAATCTGATGTTTTTAGCCCTTCATATGCACATGTATTAGGAATTAGTCTCAGTGTGTTGTGCACAACACATTCTTAATTTAAATCCATATATTAAAAATAAAAGCACAGCATACACAAAGCTTAATATTATGTATGCATGTATATAAGTAATGTGTTATTGAGTTATGGGACCATATTCCACATTTACCATGTTTTTTTTTTGTTTTGTTTTTGCTGAAGTCCACTTGTGATGTTTGTGTGGTTTTATGTACCACATACTTTTGCATGACCATTCTCTTTATCCCTTAGAATTTAACAGGCTGTTTTTGTTATTGTGCCTTTAAAACAGATCTATATAAATGAGCTCTGTTCTGATTGGCTGCTTTAATTGCACCCCTTTTAAAAGATTAGTCCAGGTTGGAACACTTCTTATAACTTCAGCATGAATAGGCAGAGCTAAACTGCTGTGGGCCGAATGGATGTGCGGATTTACGTAAATGTGCTGGTTGTTGTGACATCACAAAAACAATGAATTCAAAATGAGCTGGTTTTGCAGCTTAGTTTCAATGTGACTGTATGAACTGGAGAGTTTACATATTACATCAGACTCTTATTTTAAAACAATAATCAAATTTTTTTTTATATGGGTTCTTTATTGAGAATAGTAGCTGTATGTCAAGTAGATGCATGTCCAGCATAATTGTTATATACAGGAAAATAGCCTACAAAAGTCTCTGTACTCACATCTAGCAGGAACTCCACCAGCGTGTCTGCAGAGAGCTCTCCATCAAACTCAATCACACGCTCGTCCTTAAAGACATAAATGCTGCCCTCTTCCTCCAAACCTACATTGTTAAGAGGAGATTGATATAAGTGAAAAAGTGATGCATTTACATGATACAAATACATGTATAACTTCTATAAATTGAATAAAATGTATTTTATCAATGCGGTTTTATCTTTCAGTTTACTTACTTTTGACTGTAACTGTGTTGATGTAATATATAGTATTCACTTGGAAATGATGGACTTGTGTGAACCAAGTAAATTAGTGCATGGATTCATTTTTAGGGCATGTTCTTTGATGCTATTAAAGTGCTTAACCTGATATTTAAAAAATATTCTACTGCAGTACTGTGCAAAAGAGACCACACTTCATCCTCACTTTCCTTTCACTACCATTCAAAACAGCCATTAAGTACAAGTTGTTCATTTTTCATGGGGACATTTCTGAAGAGATTAGATATAAAATAAACCACTTCCAAAAGGCAGGGGAATGTCAAAGGAAAATAAACGCAATAATACTTTCCAGTTTCCAGATAAACATATTAACATATAAACATATTCAAAGATGTAGAGAAAGTGGGACTCCTATCAACCGTGTATGACCTGGTAGACCACCATCTGTCTCCATCAGATTAACAGAACTTAAAGCTTTCCTCTTTGAGAGAGAGGAGAAAATCAAGCTCTACTCTTGATTCAGATCTGAAAAAATCCACAGGTGTTTCTGTCCATCCTTCCACTGTGAGAAGACAACTCAACACTGTGAGTCTGAAAGGATGTGTAGCTGACAAGAAGCCATTACTGAGAAAAGGAAACAGAGACAAATAAGAAGAAAGTTTGCAAGTCAAACAAGGAATATGCTGATGTTCTCAGAACAAAGGACTGACCACCCCAGAGTCCAGACCTCAACATTTATAATGTGTTTGGGATTATTTGGATCCTGTCTAAGACTTCTAAGACTGAACTTTCTCTGCAGATTTCTTTGAAAAACTAAAAGCAAGTCTCCTGAAAAGAATGGAAGCTGTAATAAAGACAAAGAGTGAACACACTAAATACTGAAAAAAAGATATTATATTTAGTTGTTGATAGTTTCTGTGTATTTTTGTTTCTGACACTGAAAAAATGAATAACATGGACATCTTGGCTGTCTTGACTGGAAATTAAATCAATAAAAAGTAGTTTATAATTTTTGAGAAAGATTGCTTTCTATTAACAAAGAATAGCCATTATGTTTAAATCACAAGGGTCAAGGCAAACCTTACCAAGCTTCTTGGCCACCTTGGCATCCTTATGAGAATCTACCATTCCAAAGCCAATGTCTCTGTCTTCAAGGATTTGGGCAGCGAGCTATAAATTCAAGAAAGGAAGAAAAAGAAAACAATAGACAGAAATAATACAGGTGTACACGCCCATGTACTGACAAAATCAAGTAAACACTGTGAAGTTATTTTAGCCTTGATTGCTCACTAGCAGCTCAACACAGAGTCACAACATTTCACACAGAGAGCCAACAGTGTTCTGGATAATCTGATAACCAAGTTATGGGGAAAATATTTTAATTAATTAAAACATCAGAGTAGATTTCCATTCTGTCAGCAGAATGGTCACTGGGGATCTGCATTACATTCTTAGTATGGCAAAACGAAAGCTTTCATTTAAAGGTAAAGTAGTTGTAATTTTAAATTAGCCAGTGTCTTCAGATTAGTGTTGTAGGACATGAGTTCAGTATTGATCTCAGTCTTGTCTTGACATTATTAAGACTTGGTATTGTCTTGGGCTTGGGGTAAGGTTGAAATTGTTCTCAAGACCAGCCAAGTGTGATGCCTTCATCAGAGGTAACAGGAATTTTTTTTTCTATCATTACTGAATATCAACAATATCTTCAAACAGAATAAAACAGTCCCTTCACTACGTGCTTAAATCTGTTCTCTGCTGGTTGAAGATTTCATTGGTCTTTCTATGACGATGGAGTTATTTGTTTGTTGATGTTCACTGGTTCCAAAATTCCAAATTTCCTGAGGGCAGATTGGAATGATATTATTACTATATTTTCATTTAATAATAAAAATTGTTTTTTGTTGTTTGGTTTATATTCTGTTGACCTTAGGTGGTGAATCTGAATAAAGAAGGATCAGAGAAAAAGCTCACAATAATTTGCTTCCAAATGTGTATATATGTCACATATACATGCTATACATTGTCTCATTCTCAGCCAGGTCTTGGTCTTGACTCAGATCCGGCTCTGGTGGTTTTGACTACAACACTACTTTGTATTCTATCTTATTTATTTATTAGCATTTTTCAGGGGTGGGTAGTCACGGTTAGTCCAAAATCAGGCCTTTTGCTTGACCACAAAAATCCTCAGGCAGGGACAGCCGGGAGTCCCAAAAATGTCGACTTTCTGATTCCAGGCGTTTGGGAATCCAAATCATTGGACTTTATTCCGTACAGTGACCGTACAGGTTTGCCTGCCCCTGCTTAGCTTTAGACATCCAGCATGAAAAAGCATTCTCATCAAACTGGCTGTGTTTTACTGTAAACAAAGTCTAATTTGTGATAAAAAATTTGCCTTATCATAAAACTATTTTGCCAGTGCTGAACCATTTCCTCATTTGAAGGAGTTGACAGAGGAGAATCATGGAAAGTAACAGTCTAGCTACCCTCCGTTAGCCAAATTAATTTAGCAAAGTGTTAGCGCTCCAAATTGCCTTCCTAAGATGTGATGGGTTAGGTAATTAATACACGGATTTAAAATCAAGGTCCCTTGTCATTCATAACATAAATCAGGCAGATGTATTTTGAACGTAATAATTTGGAATCGAGAATGAGAAAAAACGTATGTGACATTGACTTTTGAAATTGATTCCCATCACTTTCTGGAACCGAACTACCCCAGGGACAGGGTAGTCTCTAGACTAGATTAAAAGACTAAAGACTAGGTTAAAAGCTTACTAGTTATGCTAGTTAAGTCAGTGGCAGGCATCATACTGACCGATCGATTCTCCAGGGAAAATCAACTATTCTGGACCAGTGATGCTTCAGAGAGTATTGCTTCTTGGCTGAGTATAGAGAGGATACTAAAAGAAAGCACTCTTTCAGAGCTGAGAGGAGCACAGACTGAAGCCTCTGGAGAGATTTCAGGTCTTTTTTCAGCCTCTAAATCAGGTCACTCCTTTACCAAGTTACACACCAATTATTCTTCACACCCAGAAGACCAGCGTGTGCAAACTGTTCAGATTTGTTCTCCTGTTCCCACGACTTCACAGCATGTTCAGAGAACATCTCCTGAGCTTTACACGATGGAGTTCACAGAAACCAATCATTTCATGCTCATCTGAGGCCGCTTTTGTGATCATTTGACCAGGCTGCTATTCAGAGATGGGACATGTGCTCAATTACCAAATAATACAGGGACCAGGAATCAAAAGCTTATAGGAAGCAGCAGACTGTGTCTGATTTTCTCTTGGTGTAATGCACATGTAGAAACAGAGTTACACTTGAAAGTTCAAAAGTTTGGAATCATGTTTTTAATAACATAGACGACTGTTCTAGGGGCCATTCCCTACATATTTCTTTTTTCTTTTTTTCCTGTGAGGTCCACTTATAACATTTGTGCGGTTTTATGTAAAAAAAAGTAATGGTCATAATTTATTTTTACATAATCATTTCCCTTAGAATTAAACAGGCTGTTTTTGTTGCTGTGCCTTTAAGAAAATGATGATCTGTTTTAATTCGCTGCTCTGTATTTCACTTCATTTTTAAAAAAAGCAGTCCAGGTTGAAACACTCCTTATAACTTCAGTGTGGGTGGGTGGAGCTAAACTGATTGATTGTAATTGATTGATTGATTGATTGTAATGTATTGTACTGCACTTATGTATTGTATTGTATTGTATTGCACTGCTCTGTGTTTAACTCTGTTCCTTTTTCTCTAGGTGTCAATAATGACTTGCTGATTCTAGCAGTATCTGAGCTCAGGACTGACTTTCTCTCTAACCTATTGGTAACTAGCAAAGATACTTTCTCTCAATAGACAAAGCACTTTTTGTAAGTCGCTCTGGATAAGAGCGTCTGATAAATGCTGTAAATGTAAATGTAAACTGCTATAGTGTGAATAAGTGAATATATGTAAATGAGCTGTTTCTTGTGACATCACAGAAACAATAAATTAAAAAAAGCTGTTTTTGCAGCTCAATTTATTTGTAGGGGCTGCATGAACTGGATAATGAACGGTACATTTTGAAACTTTAACATTGCTTACATATCACTTCAAACTCTTTTATTTAGAAAATGACTAAATGATTCTTATTTGTACTGTGAAGCTTCAAAGATTTCAAATAATGTGCAGAAATTAAAATTAAATAAAAATAAATGAAAAATTAAAAATAAAAACAGAATTCAACAATGTGCAAAACATTTACACCCAATATTTAATTGAAAATAGTACAAAGACAATACATCAGATGTAGAAACTGATGGAATTTATTGTTTTTTGAAAAATATATGCCCATTTTGAATTTTGTAGGGTGATGCTCATCCTGATTATTTATCAATTAATAACTTCTTGATGCTCCCAAAACCTTGAAATATAGGACAAGTGATTCCAAACTTTTTAAGAGTCCTGTATATACAAGTTTCAGCTAATGTCCAGCAACTCTACTGTCTCCTGTTTTTCACTACAGCAAAAGATCAAACCTACTATTAATAAATTCATACTGCTTATCTCTGAACCATCAGAAATACCAGGTCTTTGGTTTCTACAAGGACACCCATTTGCCAAAATGTCATGCCCAGGTAAGAGAACATAAATCCTTCTCCCATCTTCATCTATCTCCATCCTCACCCAGCCCTCCTTACCTCCAGCACCATCTCCCTCATGTGAAACTGCTGCTGGAGCTCCCTGTCAGACGGAAGGCGTTCGTGGTAGAGCAGGCACAGCATATCATACTTCTTCAGTGCCTTCTTGTAGTTCCTCTCATTGATGTCCAGCACCCGGTCTTTGCCGTCAAAGCTAGGGAACTCCAGGCCTTCCTCTGCAAAGCCGCTGGACAAAATAGTCAAGCTAGGAGGCAGGAGAAGCCAAAGAGGCAACATGGTGGGTCTGCAGAATGGGTCCAAGAAGAAGGCAAAGAAGTTAGCTAGCTCAGAATAATAATGCAAAGTCCCTGAGGGGCAGTGAGGCTCCAGTGAGACAAGTCACCCTGTGAAAAGAGTGAGAAATTTCAGAAATGTGGAAATTCAGCTAGAAATCCTTGTGTTTCATCAGTCACAAACGGCTGTAATAAAGCTTTAGAATCAACTCTCATCTCTTTCTCTCCTCTTCCAGACCAGGATAAGGGATGCTGGGAAGCATCTGCTTTAACAGATAACTAGATAGGCCTGCCTCACACAAGTGTGTCCATTCCCCTGTGTCTGAAGGACATTTTTAGGAGCCCCTTTGTTTCAGGGACAAATATAGATGATGTGCTGATGAAAATGAGGACATTAGGGACACCACTGGGAATCACTCTGACACTTCATGAGGGAGAAGAAGAAGCCTAAAGTAAGAGTAGAGCATGAAATTTGGTGGCCTTTAAAACTACAACATAGAAGTTGCACTGACAAGTACAGAGTTTCGTTCGACAAGGAGCCCTAAGAAACAAATATATGTTTCATACAATCAGGAGAACATCAGTGATGCCCATTGATGTCATTCACACTTTGTTCTAAATATTTTCCTCACAAACTTCATTGTATAATTTTAATGCTATTTTAGAAAAAACACGTAATATATAACAAGCTTTTTACCGACCTCATTCTTCACTTAGCAGGGAGGTTTTACAAGTAAGTTTGGATTCAGAAACATTCTATATGATTTTATTTCAAAATATTAGATGCATATCTTTTTTATTGCTCCTAGCCTCCAGGAACTCCACTGTGAGGAGGACTGTAGCACAGGCAAAGTGGAACCCAAAGACCACAGTTTCTGAAATGCACAGTTTAGTTGAATTGCAGGGTTTTTAAAGTCAGATGCCACCTCCATGACCAGAAAAAAAGCAGCACAGACCAGCAAGCATTCCATGCTGGTCTAAGTTGGTCTATGTTGGACTAGTGCTGGTCTGGTTCTGGTTTAAACATGACATCAAAACACAACACATGCTGGTGACCAACCATTCTGGTCTATGCTGGTTTTTCAAGCACGAAACGTTTTTGGAAGAGTTCCACAGAACACCTAACAGCAGGCCACAAAATGCAGCACTTGAAATTTGCAAAGTATAATTGGAACTACAAAAGGAATCATGTGATGTGGTCAGATGAGACAACTTTTTAGTCATGTTCACCACCGTCACTCTCGCTGGGTGGGTGAGGCTTCACCGGATATTAACAATGGGGGAGCCAATATTTTTGAAAATTGTGATTTCAAAAATGTAAATATAACAATATACAGCTTACCCATTTGTTTATGCCTGGAATATAACTCATTGCCCATGTGGGTTACTTAATACAGGGTGTCCCAAAAAAATTGACATCATTTTGTAGTCTAATAACAATTCTCCCTCAAATGATCTCAAATTTTAACAAAATGTGTAAAAAGTTAAATTTTTAATGTTTTTTTTTTCAGGTTGAAGAATGGCATTCATTAGAAATGAAAAGGCATTTTGTGTGTTAGAATATGCTCGAACACAGTCAAACAAGAGTGTGCAGCGCGCATTTTCGAGAAAATTCAATAAAAATGCACCAACTGGAAAGCAGATCTGGACATGGCACAAAAAATCCAAAGAGGAAGGCTGTCTGTGCAGGACAAAGGGATCTGAACAACCACCAGTACAGTACATTACATTTGTGAAGCTTTGTGAAATCGGTTATAAAATCTACATCCCTCTGAGTTTCTTGTTCGAATTTTGACAAATAAATCTTGTATTGATCAACATGAAGCCTATTGTAGTTACTCAGATATTCACATCTCAAATGAGGTCAATTTTTTTGGGACACCCTATATATTGAATTTAGTTCATTTTCATGAAGGGTGCCATTATTCTTTAGACTTCACTGCTTAAATGGTTTAAGTGTTTATGTATATTGCAGAAGAAAATATATATTTTTGAGAGAGAGAGAGAGAGAGAGAGACAGACTTCAACCATAATATTAACATTTAATACACAGGATCTGAAAGGATCTGAAACACAGCTGCTTTTTGAAAGAATACTTTACCAAGAACAAAATTACAGTCTTGGCATGGTCCCTTTAACACAGGCGCCACTAAATTTTGTTTCCAAACACAATGAACTTAATAATACATTTTAAGTATGTCCTCGGGCCGCTGTATTAGGATGTTAGGATATGAGATACTCGCACTGCAAATGTGCCCTGAGATCCGTCAGACAGAACTAATCGACAGTGGCAGACGCGATCAAGTTTACTCTGCAGTCAGTCACGACTAAGCGATGCATAGAAAATGGAGCTGCCGTGGCTGTTTGCGACGCTTTTCCTTTTGCTCCTGACTGGAACTGAGTTCAGTCTCGCTGATGAAGGTAAGACCTTTATAATGTCGCAGTAGCAGTTTTTACAGTGTTGTATCAGAGCCGGTAATTTGGTTCGAGCTGTTCTTTACGCACCGAAGCGGCGAATGACCCGTTCACAGGCAGCCGGCCGCCGGCTTCCGTTACACAGGTTAGCATTAGCCACTTTTGTATCATGTCAACTTTATTCCCGTTGGCTGCTTTTATCCGTTAATGAAATACGGGTCTGTTTACATCGCGATTGTGGATCATTTGAACGTTTTTGTGCTGTTAGGAAGTGGTAAACTGTTAGGAAAGGCTTGCTCTCAGCAGGTTTGTAAACCCGCTCTCTCCCGTGAGCTCGATTAGTGAAGCTGCGGCACCACAAACCTGAAGTTAGCAGCTTTTTGTCCCGCTTCTTTTCGAATTTTCCGTTCCACCTTAAATGGCGCGGCAGTCCCCTTCTGGCGCCTGTGCAGAATGGATGTAACTGTTGCACCGTTTAAGGTGGAACGGAAAATTCGAATGGGAAGCCAACTTCAGCCTCGCGCAACACCTGGCGTTGAACTTGTTCACGACAAATAAATAAACCGACAGACAGGTTGGCAGGGAGGCTCACGATGTTATGTTCTGAAATGCACAAAAACAAGCAAAGCATGTAGCGTTAAGAGTAGTGAAACCCTTCAAGACGTTTCCATTAGAGTTTTTATGTTTCAGTAATGCTGAAATACTGATATTACTGCTTTTTTAGAAATACGGCCACCCAGGAATTTCAGTCTAAAAGTGCTGAAAAAGGAAACGTTTCTACGTTAATCACGAGTGTGGATCCGTTAGGAATATCCTGTAGCGATATGTTTGTTATTCCTATGACTATTAACGTTATAGCATTTTTCATGTGTAGAATTGAGTTAGTCGTCACTATTAAAGGGCCTGTGTCCTAAATTTTCTTGGTCCGTTTACGACGTAAGTGATATTTTATGTATGATATCTTCCAAAATCAGCCTAAAGAGGCTGCTCTTTTGTACTGTACTTTTAAGATCGATATATGTAAATGCATTGTATTGTCCCTCATTTAAAAAGTAGTCTGGGCTGAAACACCCCTTATAACTTCAGCGTGAATGGGTGGGGCTAAACTACCATAGGTCGAATGGGTGGAATATGTCTTTTTTTTTTTGTGTGTGGCTTATTTTCCATAGACAGACCCTGTGGACTGAAGAGTGCTAGATTTTTAAACATTTACAAAGTGTACACATTACTTTAAAATACTTTCTGAGGAAAACTCAGTTTTTTTTGCTGAAGGGAACTAAGGTTGGGACTGGTTGTGGAAAATAAGAAACTTTTTTTTTCAAAACATTTATGAAATAAAAAATGAATAGTTTTTAAACATTTTGTATGTTGTAGTTGTAGTGGTATCAGGACATTTGGGTCCCATTGCAGTGCCAAAAAAAATCTTACTGTTTCAGATAATAAAAGTTTATAAGAGATACCAAGATTCAAAATCTCCTCTTTTCTAAATTCACCAGAAACACAGTGGCAGAAATATCTCAGTAACATTGCTGAAGCAACCAAGAAGTACCAGCCATGCAGCCAGGAGAACTGCAGCTGCCACATCAGGTAAAATCTCTTTAAAAAGCCAGTTTACTTTAGTAAACTGTAATTAATTAGTAAATGAATTAGGTATAATTACCTTGTCTTTGTAGCAGAATTAACATCATTCCCATTGCAATGAATGTTCTGAATCTGTATTTTTTGTATTTCCCATCATGTGGTTCCAGTGTCCTGAAAAGTGACCTGTTGCCGTTCAGAAATGGTATATCAAAGGAGCTGATGTCGGACACGGTGCAGCGTAGTGTGGGGACACACTACCAGATCATCGGACACAAGCTGTACCGAGAACAGGACTGCATGTTCCCAGCCAGGTTGGTGCAATACAGTGGTCATATTTCTATGTGTGTAATGTATTTAAGGAGTGCTAACAGTGCTCTGGTCCTGTATGTGTGCAGGTGCAGCGGAGTAGAGCATTTTATCCTGGAAGTGATTGACCGGTTGCCTGATGTGGAGATGGTCGTTAATGTGCGTGATTACCCTCAGGTGCCTGGATGGTCTCAGCCACTGCTGCCTATTTTTTCCTTCAGCAAGGTGTGTAGTTTTGCGTACATACAAATGGTTACTAATTTTTTCCACTTGAATTCCCAGTGCTAGGTAGGTCTTCCCTGTCACATGATCCTACCTTACTAGGAGGGTAAAAGTTAGCACATGCTTCCTTCAAGACATGTGACGCCAGCTACATGTCTCGCAACATTATAGACCTCTGAAGTTGTGCTTCATTCTGGAGGCAGCATCATGGCCATACTAGGAACTCCGACTCTCAACTGGTTTTCCCTATAACAGAAATGAATGGCATCCTGTGGTAAACAAAGCCTTTTTTTGTCCGATGTTAATCCTCTGAACTGTGAGGTTGTTTCTCAGTCAAAATAAATAATAAATACATGCAATATACATGCTAGCAAGCTAACACTCCAGCAGACTGAAATGATGCTGCATGAAAGTAAGTCTACTACAGTCTACTACAAAACTTCAACTCAATTCTATACCAATAGCAGCTGACTGCAAACCTAAAACTACCAAAGCCTCTGAACTACCACATTTGACGAAGCTTGCTGGTTTGTTTGAGGTATTCTGGTAAGATTGCTAGTCTTATGATGTCAATTCCGTGCGAAGAAGTGCTAGCTTGCATGTAGCAATGTTTTGGCTCCTTAATGACCTTGTTATTCAGAGGATCCAGCGGCGTTTGAAGGAAAAATGTCCATACAGAAAATCTGTCGGCTTTGGAGCGGTTTTGCTCACTACAGGACATGATAGCAGCAGTTCTCGAAAGTGCTGCTCACTTCTGTCATAGAGAAAGACAGCTTAGGCCTATAGTTCCAAGTTTGGGCATGATGCTGACTGCAGAGTAATGCATGACTTCAGAAGTCTATTAGACAGCATCAGTATACTTGGAGAACACTATCTGCTAAATGTCTTACATCAGCTAACAGACACTTGCATTGGCTGGGGGCATGGTAGGGTGGTAGGTGGGAGCGACCTGCAAGGGACCTTGGGCTCCCAGATGGTTGTGGAGCTGGGGATTAATCTCATGATCCCCTGACAGTAGGATCAGTGCTTAAGTAGTTGAGACACTCAGGACCCCACAAATTGCTGACCTGGTGTTACATTAGGAATTAAAGTAATGGTTTAACTAAAAAACAAATTTAAGTAATTTTCCTCTAAACCAAGAGGTTCAATTTCTGTCAGTTTTTTTTGTAGATACCATAGTGTCATACATAACTTTGATATAACCCGTATTTGTCTGTTAGAAACAACAATACTGTAGAAATCTACAGCTTACGCACAAAACTTTCTGTGGAAGAAAATTCTGTTATTATGCCTGACCAGCCATGGAGATAGGTTGTAACTGTAGATGACATATAAAAGTATTTATTGAGGTACATCTGTAAATTAAAAAAAGAAAACAAACAGGAGAAACTCTGACATAGAACCTAGTCTGTATTTAAACATTTTTAACATGTAACACTGTGTGTGTGTGTGTGTGTTCGTTTCTAACAGAAGGAAGTTGCATTTCCTTTGACAGTTAAGTAGGGATGTACTGAAGTAGGTTCATGTAAGAAATGTGAGTGGGTCAGTTGGTCTCTCTACATTATTGGGTGTTACAACCCACCCTGCCTTTGTCAGTTGTGACATTGCTAGATATTTTAACATGCATATTTGGAACTTGCATATATCTATACATCAAATTCAACTAGAGAAACTGCTGCTTTAGACTAAATTAGTTACAAAATTTAACCTCTGTTACTATGAGTACGAACCAAGCTATAATCTAGACGTGAAATTTAACCTTTTTTTAAATCTGACTTTGTATGAAACAGTGATCATTTATAACAAAGTCTTCAAATTACATGGTCAGATTACATTTTGTTGATTTTCTGAGTGAAAACACATCCTCTACAGAGAACACTTCTGCACCTTTTAATCCAAAATTGCTGTTTATTTGTTGATTTCAACAAATTGGAAAAATATATAGTATATACATAAAATGCGGCACATTTTTATTTTTTGTTTTTTTTTTCCAGAAATAAACTCAGCACATGAATAGAATTTGTATACTAAAATTTACAGAAAAAATATCATATGTAAGTTTGTTCCCTGTTGAGGAGGTGTTAACTTCTTTTTATTTTGGATAATCAACAAACATAATTTAACTAGGTGTTCAGAATTTTGCACTTGGCTATAAATATAAGCTACATTAGTCTTATAGCTCCGATGCAAAACTAAGCAGGAAAAGTCATGACTTGACTGATCGAGTATTTTCAGTTAAAGTGATAACGAGAAAAATATGATTTTTCACCCAGCTGTTATATTTAAATATGCTGATTCTCCTGTGTTTTCAGACACCAGACTACCGGGATATCATGTACCCTGCGTGGACATTTTGGGAGGGAGGTCCTGCAGTGTGGCCAATTTATCCCACCGGACTGGGTCGTTGGGACCTGATGAGAGATGACCTGAAAAAGTGAGTTTTGTCCAGTTGCTATAATCAGCAACTAAACATGTACAGTATTAGTAGCAGGTAGAATGCACCAATGGTTTAAATAGATATCAGTAACAACTAAGTCACTGAGACACTTCAGTGCCACTTAAGTCTCTCTGTGTCTCTCACCCCTACTTTTAGATCAGCAGCTCGGTGGCCCTGGAAAAAGAAAAGTTCCAAAGGGTTCTTCAGAGGCTCCAGGTCAGTCTGGTATTTGTTCTTTAGGCTTGTTTGATATCATGCAGCTTCAGTAGATCATACATGCACTGGAAAATAGCAAGGCTAAGCCTAGATTAGCGTGTGTGTATATGGAGGAGCTTTGTGAGTGCAGGCTCTGAATTGTTTTGCTCCCGAGCCAGGACCAGTTCAGAGAGAGACCCTTTAATCCTGCTATCCAGAGAGGCTCCTGACCTGGTGGACGCAGAGTATACCAAGAACCAGGCCTGGAAGTCAGAGAAGGTCAGTTTATTTTTGGGGGATTATGGGAATTGTTTGAAAATAGCTCAGATTTTTTATTAGCCAAAAACTGACGGCATGCACTGTTGAATATACTGGAATTGCTTATAATCTCCTCTTAAATTCCAAAATCATTGGAGAATCAGCACTTTTAGTTCAATGCATTTATGCAGCTCTGCATTTTTACATTCTACAGCAGAGTAAGACAAGCAGACCTGGTTCATTTTCATTTTGACTTTGAAATGTTAATTTCATATTCCATCCACTCTCTCTCCCTCTTTCTCTCTCTCCCACTCTCCCCCTTGTCACAGGACACTCTGGGAAGACCCCCAGCCAAAGAAATTCCCCTGGTTGACCACTGTGAATACAAGTAAGATCCTGTCTCTTTTGAGAATTATTCAGTGGAAATATAGGCAATTGAGGGCAGTGGTGCAGTTTTAGGCTACTTACTTTTCATGTGATGTCATTTGAGTGTGCTACTGGACATTAGTGTGAAGCTCTTTGAGGAGCTGTTATCAGTTATCATCCACATTTTCCGTTTCTGCAGCGCTTTTAAACCCAAGTTAGGTTGGTTTTGCTGGTAACATTCAGGCTTTGCGTTATTTGCACATGCAGCCCTTAAACAGTATTCTACCAGGATGCAGTTGAAACATCCCATGAAAATCCTAGTAAACAGAAGGTGAAATCCTCAGCATGAACGGCCTTAATTTCTGAATCGTGAACAAAAAAATGGTTCTGCAACTTTTTTTTTCTCATAAAAACTGAAAACTCAACGGTTAAAACACAAATGATCTCTTCTTTAGAATTATATAGAAAAAACACTCTCATGATGTTTGCACTCACAAAACTGAAAAATAAAAAATTCACAAAAGCATCAGTGAAACATTCAGCTTTGGCTGTACTGTAGATGTAGCTGTATTTATTCGGTAATGTCTCGGCTTCTGTTCACACTTGAACACTCTGGGGAATTTCCCAGCAAATGTACCAGGTCTTGTGCAAGTAAATTGCTCTACAGCTTCACCAGGGTTTTGGCTCCAGCTTGAGTTCACACTTGACGCTTTCCTGTTTTATTACCATTATATTCTCAGGTAAAAGTGTGCGTGGGAAGGGGATTTTAGATCTGACATAAGGAATACAACGTAGAAATGTGTCCTAAAGGTCTTCTAATGGTATGAAATGGTAACCTTAAGACTAAACATTTTTAACACCTTTTTAAATAACATTTAAAAACTTGTCACAAAATGTGAATGGCTACTGGTGTCGAATTATCGCCTGGACATATGAACATTTTGTGGCTGATCCAGATTTTAGGGATCAAAATTCTAATATTCTAAAATATTATATAGTTGTATTATACTCCAGTAGGTTTAGTTGATTTAATTACTGATATTATTGTCAGTTCTCAATTATCACACTTCTCATACTTAATCAAACAAAAGGAATTCAGGTGGTGGAGCTACACAGAATGTTTTGTGCTGTTGGTTTCTGTTTATTGTTTTTGAAATACCTACCATGACAGTGTTTTGCCTTCAGATTCAAAAGTTTAGCCTGTAATGCTGTCATTTAGTTAAACATAGTACGTCATGTTGAGCTGCCCAGTGGCAAAACTGTCTGAGGTTTTGTCCTGTAACCGGGGGGGGACCAAAAAAATGTTATTTTGATTGTTGTGTCACAAAGCTACACTGATGTTAAACTGCCTGAAAGTGACTCATTTCTCATTTGTCAAGGTCTGAGAGTGCTAATGATGCATGTCATTCCTGACACCGTGCTCCAAGCTAAATGTCAGCACAGCACACCAGTCTTTGTTGAGAGTCTGCTGTTACTCACAGCAGTGATTCCTAGCTGAACATCTAATGCACCTTTCCACCAAACCGGTGCAAGACATTTTGACTTTGATCTGGATGAACGTGTCCTTGTTAGCTGAAGAAGTTTCAAGGAGTTTGTCAGCTTTAACACTGGAGTAGCTTGTCATGGCAGACCTCCGTTTGGTGCGGGTTAGGATTAGGTCTCTTGTCAACTGCTCAATGTAGAGGGTGTTTGTGCAATGCTGGAGGTCAAGTTGTTTAAATTTGAGGAGGTGGAGACTATTCTCATCCAAACTTCATGCTGGTTAGCATGGAAAAATAACCACAGTTGTGAGTTTTACCACAAGGAAAACTATGTTTCATTTTTGGTTAAATGTAGCTCCTTAAACATGTGTTATTTGTCTGTTTTTATTTTTGAATTAGGATTTTTAAATGTAGTTTGGCAAAAAAGAATGAATAGCTGAACTAGATCCCTAAAATTACCAAAGGAATAATGATGATGATAATGATGATAATAATAATAATAATAATAATAATAATAAAAAAACACATTTGTTGCTGTTGCCTCATGTTGGTTTCTAAAATGTTGCCTCATTATTTAAGGTCGTGAGGAAAAAATCGACTCTGAATCAGACCCTGGACATAATTAACAGACTCTCTAGTGATAATGCGTGGAAATTGGTTTAGAAGCTCTTTGATGGTAGTTAAGACTTAAAAGCTTTATTTTTATCTTAACCATCTGTCATATCTCTCTCTCTCTCTCTCTCTCTCTCTCTCTCTCTCTCTCTCTCTCTCTCTCTCTCTCTCTCTATATTAGATACCTCTTTAATTTCCGTGGGGTAGCAGCCAGTTTCCGCTTCAAGCACCTGTTCCTCTGCGGTTCCTTGGTGTTCCATGTAGGGGAGGAGTGGGTGGAGTTCTTTTACCCTCAGCTCCGGCCCTGGGTGCACTACATCCCTGTCAAACAGGACCTCTCTGACCTCAGGTGACCCTTTCCCAACCCCCACGTCCATCTGCTTCCTGTTGAGGCACAAGTGTAGAGTGCAAGAAGTCTTAGGATCAGGGGTGTAAATCTCTAAACCTTACAGTGATTTGATAAAATTACGCTTTATGAAACGATTCAGCACATCATGAAACCTCAAATTTCAGTTTGAATATGTTGGTAAAATTCAGAATTTTTATTACAAATGCACTGAATGCTCAAATGTGACTGGAGTAGCTATTTACACAGTATTGTACTATAGACAGTACAAACAATACACCTAGCTTCACATTCTCAGCATTTGTGTAGTGCAGTATTTCAGTCAAACCACTTTAAATGAATATTACTGTAATTAGATGTATAGGAATTAAGGGCCGGTGCCAATATCCAATATTTTTCTTTTATGTGTACATACATGCAACAAGTGTTGCATAAAACATTTATAAAATGTAGAAATTGGGAGTAGATCCACCTGAATTATTCTTACAGATGTGTGTTTATACAGGGAGTTGTTGCTGTTTGTCAAGGAAAACGACAAAGTAGCAGAATCCATTGCGATAAGGTAATAAAACCATGCAGTTTAAAGCACATTAAAGCCTTAAATGTCTTATACTTACTGTATGTGAGGTGGCCTTGCTAAGATTATTCTGTGTTCCTTTAGAGGTCAGAATTTCATCAAAGATCACCTTCGTATGGAAGATGTGTCCTGCTACTGGGAGAGGCTCCTCACTGACTTCAGCAAGCTGCTCACATACAAGCCCAAGCGCAAGTCCAGTTACAAGCAGGTCACCCACAAACCCAACAGGTCCGAGCTTTGACCTGAGCACCATTTCATTCTTAATGCTCAGACCGTTATGATTGTCCGTCATCCTGAAAATGAATTAGCCATTCGTTCTCCTTGGCTTTGTCACTGGTTTAACAACATTTTAAAGAATGGTGAGCGATTACAGACTTCCATATTAGTCTCATAGTAGTTAGTAAACAGTTCTTATTAGTCACGGCATAATAAGATTTAAGGTTATAACTGAAAGTAAGACTGGAGTTTAGAGGTTAAAAATGTATCACTTTTGAGTTGGAATTGCCCCGATTTTTCAACTTTGCTGCATAGTTAAATTGTTGAGATGCAAACAAAGTGATTTATGTAGAAATTCATTAACTCTGATTAACTTTTTACAGTGGTGGTGATAGAAACGAGGGGTCAGGATGTCTGCAACACAAATACAGCCATTTTACTTACTATCTAAACCACTATGGATCCTACACGTAATGTTGATAATGGTGAAGTAGGTATAAATTTAAACAATTATGTTTTCTTTGGGTACTATTTTGCCTTGCAAAACCCTGCATGTACCTCTTCACCCTGAGTGTATTTTAATAAATGCATTTTGGACCAAAACCTTCTTAAACTATCATAAAATGCTGTATCAGACATCAGACTGCATACTTATATCCGTTTCATATAATAACTGTCTGCTTTTAAAGACATTAAACTCTTCAAACATCTGGTTCCTATCACTAGCACTATCAAACCACTCTGGATGACTTTGTTTACATCCCAACAGTTAAATTATGCAGAAATTTTGGAATTTCCATTTAAACGTCTGTGGGGCGAAGCAGTATTGAAGACATCTCTGTCTAATGAGTTAAATGTTTTTACCTAATACGGTCATTAGTAGCCAAGAAGTGATGAGTTAGATACGAAAATCAGTCGGGCAGATCTGTTAGAGAACGTTAGGCAGTTACACAGTGCTCCACATGTGTCTCTACATACTCAGTAAAGGCAGCTCCGTCACTGATGCCGTTTCTCTGCAACTGTTCAATCTGTGGATTTACAGCCTTGAACCTGCAGCTTTAAAATGCTCCAAAGTGCTCCTTTCTCAGTCAAGCTCAGCTGTCATGTCTTGCTTTCCGTGTCACAATAACTACAACTGATCAGTGCAGCTTGTAATTCTTTTACATATAATGTTCCTGCTAATCATCTATATTGTTCTGGTTTAAATTCTCTTATCAATACAGTTATGATTAGAGTTTTGAATGGGGGGAAAAATACTTTAGCAGCACAGATGTTTGGCACTTTAGCAGTTTCTCTTTCTTCTCCCTCAGAACCTTCGTAAATGTTAAAGCGCTCAGCTGTAAAATGGTTAATATTAAAGTGATTGTTTTGCAAAAAAATCTCATTTGTGCAGCTTTTACCACAGCTGTAGTTGATCAACCAAAACAAGTCTGATGTTTTTTCAGTTTTGCAGAGGTTCAAGGCTTCAAGGCTGCTGCTGCTGCTGTTTTTAGCTATGCAATGTACTTTTGTCCATTTTTATAGGCAACAGCATGTCATACAGTGTGAGAAACTACATAAAGTCTGGTTGAGATCATTTAGCAACTTGAGGCAGTTTGAGGTAAGCATGTGATGATTAAGGTGTTCAGTTTAGCACATAACTAAAAAGTAAACTTAAGACATCAGACATGTTTTGGCTGATTGGCTGCATTTGGGAAAGTGTACTTTTTTGCCAAACTGTTTCTTTAAGCAGTTTAAAACGATTGACAGAACCGTTTTCTATCACTGAAAAAATGTTTTCTCAGCACTGAGCACCACATCATAGTGTTGAACTCACTCGAGTCAGCACTGTCGCACTTAATTCAGTTTAGTTAGAAGTTGTCATCAGTTATAGAACCAGAGACGAGTTAGTCCATGTTTTGTCTAAGTTGCGATGTGATTTGTTTGTTAGTCTCTCAACACTTTAGTCCTTCTGTACAGTCTGTCAGTGCTTTTATGTTTTGAGGTCAGACGAATTCACATGTTAGGTTATTGCTTCTTTCTCGTTTGTCTACGGCCCTAGATATAGCTGCCTCAGAGACACTTGTACTTTTAAGCAAAATATTGTTGAATATCGGTTTGAATTTTTGTAAATAGCCACAAACCCTGTCCTTTCACCCCTTTTCATAACTACCTGATCTTTGACCAGTTTTCCATTATTTCCCCCATGAAGACCGTTTAGGAGGTGGGTGGTCTTAACAGGGAATGACACCATTTTATCAGCATAATTCAATCATTAAAATATAAACATAAAGTCATTCAAATTGGTTTGATGTGAAATACTCATTTCTAGAGAAACTTGCAGTCAGAAGTGTTCAGAGTGGTGGTGATAGGATCCAGAAATGCCAAAGAGTTAAATGTCTTTAAAAGCTGCCTCACAGAAAGTTATTACATGGTAGTCTGAAGGTTAAGGGTTAAAATGACTAGTTTATTTACTCTAGAGATGCAGGGTATTGTAAGGCAAAAAAGTTCCCCAAAAATATATTTTTTCAGCTTCGCCACTGTTTTACTATTGTCAACGTTGCTTATAAATAGGCTTGTCACAGTTATTACATAATCACAGATCATAATTATTTGAGCTAGTTAAAATTATTTTAGCTGATCGCAATGATTTGCCACTATTGTTATCTTTCACAATTATCTCGCTGCTGTCGGAAGAAAACCTTGTACCTCCATTTTTGTTGTTTTTCAGTATCTGACATAATTTGAAAATGCCTACTGTCCTTTACATTGTATGTAAATTTCATGAAGAATGGATCAAAAGAAACAACCCAGAATGACTTCGAAAAAAGTCTGGTTTCATTGACTTACATTAAAAATAAAGTATGTTTTTTCCTACTCCTGTAAAGTTATCATTTTGGAGATATGAGGTTTTCTTCCGACAACAGCGAGATATTAATGTTGCAACAAACAGAGTGTCAATTGGTGCTTTTTTTATCAGTAGGGTTGGGGCAAATGGACATAAGTAAAAGAAAGCAGTAAACATTGGCAAAAATTTTATGATCATGATGGGCCTATGTATGGCTGTGTTTGTGGTTCCTGTCACCACCACTGTAAAGAAATACAAGTCAGCAAGTTTTTCTACAATGAACCATTTTGCATTAAGCCACTCTGAATCACTTCATCTCAATGATTTAATTATGCTGAAATTTTGAAAAATCTGTGAAACTCCCCTTTAATAGAGCCAGAAAGGAGAACCTGTGTATACTATGCTGCCCTCTGCTGTCCACTAAATGGAGAACCAGGGTCTTAAGAATGTATTGCAGCTTCCTTTCATGTGTTTGTGCTGTCGTTGCCAATGAAACACTACTGACAAATCAACCTCACCTCAGTAGGAGGGTTTTTATCATCAGTACTAGTGACACGTGGGTTTTTCAGTAAGTAGAGTAGCCAAATTCAACACGAAAGTGCCACAGAAATATTTGAATGTAAAAGTTATTTTGCCATCCACAACATCCTGCAAATTCCACCTGCACTCTTTCATTTAGAGGTTATGATCTAGAGCCACATTGGCACTGAAATGTTGAATATGTTCTAGTATTCTAAAAGTATGTTAGCAATACGTTGTTATTTTGTGTTTAGATCTATAGCCTAAGTGGATTTACACTGTGCTCTGTTTTGTTCATTGACCAAAGTGCAGTGGAGTTAAACTGACATCGAACAATAAACGATGAACTGAAACAGGATGCGTATTCAAGCATGCCAGCACTATGACCACGTAATGTGCTTTTTTACATTCAGACACTCATGTTCATACTTATTGCTGAAATTATGTTTGGAAGATACTTTGCTTTTGAGACCAAATAAATTGTATTTTCAAAAGTTGTGCTTGTTCATTCTTTCAGAAATAGAAAATAGGACATACTCTCTGCACCTGATTACTATTAAAACCCATGTCAAGGAACATGTCTTGCTTTAAAAGCTTGATGTAGCATGTATACAGCATGTCAAAACAAACTGTTCACTACCCAGTAAAAATTAAACTGCAAAAAAGTTTTTGTTTTTTTTTATTAGCTATTTTTGTGATGTCACCAAAAAACAATTTATATGCGGTTGTATGCAAAAGTTTGGACCCCCCCCTCGGTCAAATGATGTGTTTTGTTGATTTCTAAGTGAAAGTAAGTTAATACATCCTCATGTTCAGCTTTGCAAATAAACAGAAATAGCGAAAAATACTATTTTTAAGTGCGTTCTCTTCAGTGGATGTGTGCATATTTTCACTTAGAGAATCAACTAAATGTAATTTGTCCAGGGGTGTTTAAACTTTTGCGTACAACTGTAGCACTGATATTTTTTGTATGTGTAAAGCTCAGTAACAACAATGTATTATCATGAAAAAAAGAAAATTCTTAAAAGTGGTTCATAAGTTTTGGAACAAAACTCTTCAATTACAGATTGTTGCCCATCTATTGTTGCTGCACAATTTGTTGGTCCTTTTCTGCCTCAATCATCGTTGATCAGCTTCTGACCACAGGGCTGCTGTTGGCATTATTTGGGTGGTGGATCTCTCTTTACACAGCAGTGACGCTGACGCGGTGGCTTGTGTGCCGTTGATATAAGTGTATCAGACATGTCAGTGTCACTGTTGAGGTTGACGGTGCTCCACCCCTCAAAAATATCCAGCCAAGAGCAGCTGTGTGGTCAGACTGACCACTGATGAGGAACTAGAGGACGGCAACACAAACAGTTCTTAACCCTGCTGTTAAGTGTCTTCTACCATAGAGTGGAAACAGGTCTGTTGGCTGCTTTAGGGTCCATTATTACAATGTTGGCTTTATTTTAGGACAGGAAATACAGAAGTCATCAACAGCTGGCAAGGCATCACCAGCGGCCTTTCCAGAACTTCTCTAAACCCTCTTTGTGGTCAATCCTGTCCCGTCCTCCCACTATACCACACGGTCCATCTTCAGCTGAACCAGGTGTGTCTGGCTAATTGAGAAATCCTGCTTTGGGAAAATCCCCCTCAGGGTGAACTTGATGGATTGTTGTGGTTTCCACCGAAAAGCCAGTATCAAGAAATATCATGAAAATCTTAAGATGGCAGCTACAGAGACAAAGCATGCCTTAACATGGAGCCAGTGCAACACAAGATAATCTGTAGAGTGATGTTGAAAAAGGGTCAGCGGACTAAATTATGTGGGGCCTAGCTTGTCGACTAAGCCATCTAGTGTTAACTGATGGTATTAAATTATTTGTTTCAATAAGTGGCCATTTCACAAATCAACATTTTAGTTGTTGCCAGAAAGCTTGAAGGGGAATTCCACCATTTTTTCTAAATTTCTTCCTTATTAAATTCAATTTTTACTCTTATTTTGATTGTCAACATTACATATAAAAACTTTGCAGGATCCCTGGTGATTTTGGATGGTAAATAAAAAAGACTATATTTGCATCGTATACTTCGTAACCCCTGGTTCCTATCACCACCGCTGTAAATAACTCAGCCTGTAAGTTTCTCAACAGTTAATCATTTCACATCAAACCGCTCTGAATGACTGTGGCCACATCTCAATCACTGAATTATGCAGAGATTTCAGTGAAAATGTGCAGAATTTTCACACCCTTGGCCCAAACACAGTCAATCAGCCAGGGTTTGCACTGGAGCTGCGAGTCTAGTATAGTAAAAGTGACATAGGCTTTCATTACTTGTTAGCTACATTAGCTTTATAGCTCCAGCTATACCTTGTCTACCTTGGCTGATCGACTACATTTTTGGTAAGAGGGAAATTTGATATTTCGGTGAAACATCCCTTTAAGTTTTCCAGCGGTTTCACCGCTCGGTCCTCCACCGCTAAGTGGCGCTGCAGGATCGTTGGGCGTGCGCTGACATTGTGGTGGAGGATGAAGGAGCGTCAAAGCGGGCTGCAGGTAAAAGCTCTGTAGATGAATCTCGTCACGCTGCTGTCCGTCTCTGAAGCGCTTCACATGATATTTAATTCATAGTTCTGTTCTGTGGAGGCAGGAAATCGGTCAGAGTTACAGGAAAAGAAGTGAAGTTAATGGTGAATAAACCTCGCCGGGTTAGGGAGCTCGACTAAGGCCGAGTCTCAAATCTCCCACTACTCCCTATTTAGGGCGCTCCGCAAGTCATGAGGCTGTGACTTCTACAAAACACCGCACTAAACGTTACATCCTGTCTATTAATCTGTTAGTCGTAGGTCTGTGTCTGTAATCTGTCGCGTTATTTGTGTGCAGAAGTCGTTATTTCATTGCCTACATAGTGCGCACTACATAGGGAGTAGAGTCAGAGTACTGAGGTGCACCAGCGTTCAAAAGTTCAAGTGCTGTAGTCTGGTAGTGCTTCTCTACACGTTAGTTTCCTGAGAGGTTTTGTCCCAATAAGCCCCTCTGTTGGTTGGTGCTGTGTTTTAAAATCCTTCTCCAACGTTTCCAATAATATCCCCCTGCTAGAAAGACCAGCAAAGACCAGCACGTCTTGTGTTTTGAATGCTGGTGTTCTGGTCAACCTGCATGACCATGCTGGGTGACCATTTAAACCGGCATACACCAGCATGACTTCATGCTTGTCTGTGCTGTTTCTTTCAGAAGGGCTGTGTTTCAGTAATGCTAAAATACTGATGGATTAACTGTTTTTTAGAAACATATTACTGAGAGATTGGAGTGCAAAAAGGCTTGGTCAGTCAGATACACCCTGTGATGATGTCTCCCCATTTACAGAAAGAGGAGCCCTATCAGCTCTCTCTGAAGGGTCCATGGCCAAGAAGACAATGTGTCTGTAATAAAGACGGCTGTTTTTCGGCTTAAAACTTATTTAGTCAGTTAATACTGAATACTTTTGAAGCTGAAGATGTTGAATCAGTTGTTCAGCTGGAGTCTGTTATTGTTGAGCGTCTGAGTGAGTTGGTAAGTGTTGTTGGTAGGTGCCATGCTGATAGAGCCTAATACACATTTAAAGGGGAGTTCCACATATTTTTCTAAATGTTTGCATAATTAAGTGGTTTATGTCAACACATCAAGTATCGAGAGTGATTTGCTGTGAAATGTTCTGTGACACCTACAGTCATAATTGCTCAGACATTGTTTTACGATAGTCCTGAGGTAAGATTTTGGCCTAAAATGTCCTTTTTAAAATACATTCGTGATGAAAAGGTACATGCAGGACAAACAGTATCCAAAGAAAACTTTTTATTTAAACTAATTTACTACTATTTTATCATTATCAACATTACATATACATTCCTATTACCAGCTTTGTTGGTAAGTTTCTGTACAGTAAACCGTTTATATGAAACCACTTTGAATGACAGTATTTTTATTACAACTATTGAATTATGTAGATAATTGGAAAAAACGATGGAATTCTCATTTAACCTAACTGCAGGAATAAAAAATGGCCTCACAGCTAAATATATTTCTTTAGGTCCCTCCTCCTCTTGATGATCTATAAATTCCTTCTCTTCACCCAACAGCTGCATTGCTTTAGGTGTCAGCGTCCAGCCTGTCTCCATATTCCTCTCCCCGAAGGCCTCCCCTGTTGGAGTGATCGTTTCTGAGTACATGAAGATATCTTAACCCCTGGCCATGTGTTTTCCTCCCAGTGATTTAACAGCCCGCCGGAGCGAGATGCACCCTGAACGCCGCTTTACATGCACATCCACATGTGGGGTAAAAGCAACAGACGCAGTCCACCCCAGGCAATTCCACACCGGACTGCTGCAGGACCTTTTCAGGTTCACCCTGCCCAGAGTGCA